CCTGATGCAACAGCAAGAGCCTGTGATGGTGTCAGTAGTGAGCTGGTAAGCAGTGTAAACTTGACTTACAAGACCAAGAGACTTAATAATGAGTGTCCAGAGTCCAAGGAACCGTCGAATGACGAAGCCCCCCAGAACAGTCTTGATTTCTGGAATACCACTGTGCTTTGCGTAGATGGCATATTCCTGGACGAGAAGTGCTGCGACATATGCAAACAGCATCTTCCAATCGTTAGCCATATGAGGTAGTAGAAGTCACGGGGGTCCAGTGTGCATACCGCGAAAGAAACAAAGAAGAAATACTCAATGAACCACTTGCCACCTTTTGAATGGACTCCCAGAGCGTCGCCCCAAGTCTTCCAACCGTCACATTTGGAGCCTTGGTCATAGCCATAACAGCAGAACGCCTTATTTAGGTAAAAATGGCCTCCTTCTGGTCCACTCGCGCAGTATCCTTCCTTCAAATCTCCAAGCCAATCGGTCGTGACGTTGATGACAGCAGCAACAGTGCCTACAAGCATACCCGTCAAGAGCAGGACGATCCAGACTTGGCTGGCATCAATGAGGCGTCGCACATAACCTATAACCCCAGACGCACTCGAGTATAGCATGCGCAATCTCTGGCGCTCTTTTGTGTACTCGAAAATCCAATCGATAGCCGTAAGATCCTCGTAGCCGACTCGACGCCCTGGTCCCTCGACATACCAATCATGCGGCACACCATCCTTGGAAGCTTCGTTGAACATGACAGTCTCAGGGCGCGGGGGAGTATTAGAGCTTGAATAAACAGCTGGAGACGGTCCTCTCGAGGAGGCATGCGGTCGTGAACCTGTGATGGCGGAGAGAAGTCTAGAGGGCGCAGACCAGAGCGAGGGACCCTGCCTGCGTTTAAAGGTCATGGGTGCACTCAGATTGCTCTGAAGTGGATCGTCGCCGAGCACATGGTCTCGGTCGCGAGACCTACCACGGCCGCTGTCATCGCTGGCGTCGTCGTGAAGGAAATCGAGCTCGTCGCGATCGTCGGAATTGGAGTTTGGAGTATGCGACGAGGACGAGGCGGAAGCAGAAGCGGAGGCGAGGGCGTAGGGGTCGTTTTGAGACGCTCCAGACATGATGCGGCTCATGACATTGTGATTATGCGGTGTAAGAGCTCACAGCTGGCCCGGAGTCTTTGGCTTGTGAGAGACTGAAAGGGAGAGTCCAGATAAAGTTAGATACGAGGTTGTTGATGTCCATGTCAAGTGCGCTATTGACTAGGAGGGTTCAGTGGAGGACACGCAATGGCTACAGTTGGTCTGGTTGGTCGTTGTAAGGCTTGGATTGCCTAAAACGTCGACTCGACCAGCTGAAAACAAGCATCATGGCGTCGGGCGGTTGTTTATAGCTGAGACAAGGAAGAGTTTATTTAAGAAATATTGAAACATTCTATTGTCTCGAGTTGCATTTTTGAGGCTCAAGTTTAAATACTAACTAAAGCAATTGCCTGGTCTCGCGAAGATCTTGGCTTTCATTGTCCTTGTGGAAACTAGCTTAAAACACTTATTTATATCACATTCCTAATAGACTGATTAGTATATGATAGTACGGAACGGTATACTTGGATCTCAATAATAATTAGGATTTATTCATCATGTAAAATGAATTCGTTGATATCACCCCTTCCATAAATGTTGGAGGTTTCTAGAATTCATCTACGGAGGGGAATTTATAAATAGTGGGACCCAACAAAGTTGCTGCAAGTCAAGTCCATCAACACTCTTCTCATCTTAGCAACTATTTTCACATACAGCCAAGTCTTTATTTATCTCAAGACACTCAAGTGTTGCAGTCAGCGTATGGAAACTACAGCTCTGTATCCGGAACTCGACTCACTACTACAAAATAGGGACCAAGATGGCTGAAAATACACAAAGTACTGCTTCGCAACCAACAGACGTCAACAAGATACAATCACTTCTCAAGGCCAAAGATGATACCCAAAGATTTGTAGGACTAGCCCTCCTAAAATCTCTTCTCGACAGCTCAGAACAACTTCGCCAAGATGAGCAAACAGTTCAAGGTCTATGGTCCAGTCTCTCACCCAAGTTCCTCGACCGACTACTACGCACAGGCTCAAAGCCTTCAACTCAGAATTCAAAAGAGATGTTGGATTTGGCTGTATCTGTCTTGTACATTTTCTCCATTCTTCTTCCCGACCAGGCTAAGAGTGACGCCAAATTCATCAACAGAATCCCCTTGCTCGTCAATGCAGTTCTCTACAGGTATGAAGCCTCGCCAGGCAAAAGGAACAAACTAATGACTGTTTCAGCTCTGAAGACACCACAAAGTTAATACTTCAACTACTACATACGCTAGCAAGCTCACAGCAAGGAGCACAAGAACTTATCAATGTGGAAGACTTTAGCTCCCTTACCGAGATCGCTCCTAGCCATGCACAGGTTCTGGATATCTTTTGCTTTGCATGGCTCAATTCTATGACAACCATTGAAGATCCCTCTACGCTGGTGAGGCAGATTGACGACACGATTCAAAGTCTGGTCTCATCATTCACTGGAACTGATGCTGTCACTCTTCTCGAGTTCCTTGGTTACTTTCTTCGGCATGCCAACTCTTCTGTGCGTTTTCCACACCTTCTCCGAGAGAATCATCTAACCATTTGCTTCAGATTCTTCCTCAGCATCCCAGGTGGCTCAAAGTAGTCGTTAGCTACATTCAAAACCTCGTCACAAGTAGGCCAACACCTGAAGCCCGAGCGGCATATACGAATGCCACAGCCTCGATACTCCAAGCTTTCCCGTCCGAGGCACCGAAGTTGGTGTTTATCGACGACAAAAAGGATGACAAGGCCTTCTCATACCTACTCATCAACCTCCTACTCATTGATATTCGCTCTTCGGCTCCCACTCTTCTAGAACAGCTAAATAAGCCCGAGTACCCCAAAGTCTCAACACGCCTCACATCTGCATTCGACGTCATCTCAATCTTCATTGGATACCTCGTGCAGTGTTTGGAAGACGAGTCCATGGAAACCTTCTTCATGACCCCCGAGAACCTCCTTAAGCTCCGTAAGGGCATTTCCGAGACAATGTCTCTCACAGCCGAGTATCTTCGCGATCGATGGGATGCTTCTGTTGCCGGAGCCATGGGACTACATCCAGACGCTCGTACTGGCACGATAGACACATCAGCTGGAGTCCACCACACACTCGCTTGGGACTCAATGAGAGATAATGCTGATGATGATATGTTCATACTTTCAGCTGTGCGAGCGTTGGCGCTCTGGCTGCGAGAAGAGGAGAATGATATCCTGCGAAAAGAGGCTACGGGTTTGATGGATATGTTTATGGATCTTTACAAATCCAGCTCTCAGCATAAACTCGACTTCCGATCTCCGGTCCTCGTGGCTCTCGAGGGTGTGACTACGCTACCCAAAGGTCGCGAGCTGTTGCTCGCCAACGAAGGGTGGACAATTCTCGCTCACGATCTGAACTCTATTCTGCAGCATGCCTCACAGACTTGCGGAGAGCAGGAGGTTGCTCGGGCTACAGACATTGTTCGCATTCTGCTTCCCATAGTTGAGCAAGAATCCAACGGTGTTCCTGAAGCTTGGATGGATCTCATCACTTCAGTGGCAGCATGGGATGTCCCTGACTCAGGATTACCACCCCAGGTACAGGAAGCAGTAATATCCTCTTTGCAACTTTGCTGCGCGGTGCTTGTAGCGGCGAACCGGGGCATGCGGCAGAGATATAAGCACTCTATTGCTGCTATCTATGGGATTGCGTCTCAACTTGCTAAGCAAGTCAGTCAGGGTAACCCTGAGAGGGAAATGTTAGAAGACGTTCTTGCTACATTGGGTTCGTTAACGCAGGAGTGATGAAAACTACGAATTACCCTTTCAGGCGTACCAATATTAACACGACGTTCATCGAGCTAAATGTTGTGAAGGATGGATAGTGCTTATGTCAATACGTTAAGCGCTTAAATACACCTTCAGTGGTCGTGTTGTTCTGTCCTACCCCTCACGAGATTGTGGCATCCCCTTTGGCCAACAGTAACTTCATCAATCACGCTGACGAAACGCGGGCGTTGCGTTGTAAGAGATGAATAAGCCACCTGCTTACATGGCGCTGAACGATGGCGCCTCGTATAAGAAGCTTCTATTCATACACTCTATTTAGCAGGTCTTTAAGTCCTGATAGAATCAAACCTCAATTGACAACCTCTGTTCATGAATCGTCTCATTGGCCTATCGCGTCTAACTCCCATCAGTCAGTTTCTCAAGCGCCAACATCTTCATACAATGGCTACGCACTACGACGTTATCGTCCTCGGCTCCGGTCAGAGTGGCAACCCAGTCGCCAAAGCCTTCGCCAATGCTGGTCGCAAAACAGCTGTGATTGAGCGTACGGCACTAGGCGGCACTTGTGTCAATGTTGGTTGTACGCCTACAAAGACCATGATCGCCTCTGGAAGAGCAGCCTACATGACCAAACGTGGTAAAGACTATGGCGTACACGAAGGAAATGGTAATGTTGAGATCGACATGGCTCGTGTAAGGCAGCGCAAGCGCGAAATCGTGGAGCAGTGGAACGCCGGCAGTGTCAGAGGTTTGGATGCAGCAGGTGTCGATGTGATTATGGGCGACGGTAGCTTTGTCGGCGAGAAGAAACTCAAAGTATTGTTGAACAATGGGGGCGAGAAAGAGGTCAGTGCCGATCAAATTTTCATCAACGTCGGTGAGAGGCCATCGAGGCCAGATATCACAGGTCTCGACGATGTTGATCCAGCACGAGTACTCAACTCGACTACTATCATGGAACTGGGTGAGGTTCCACAGCGTCTCGTTGTGTTGGGCGGCGGGTATATCGGCCTTGAGTTTGGACAGCTCTTTCGCCGCTTTGGTTCTGAAGTGACTGTTATTCAAAGGGCCAAGCAGCTTGTACCCCGAGAAGACACTGACGTGGCAAAGTGTCTCATGGATATCCTTCAACAGGATGGCATCACTGTTCATCTTTCGAGCACAGTGAACTCGATCTCAGCTTCGAAGGACACAAAGACACCTTTCGCAGTGAGCGTCAAGACTCCAGGAGGGGAGACAGAAGTTTCCGGAACACATCTCCTGCTGGCAACAGGCCGAGTGCCCAATACAGATAGCCTGAACCTCTCCGAAGTTGGCATCAAGACGACTCCTAGAGGTCACATTATTGTCGACGATAAACTCCAGACCACGGCTTCAGATATCTACGCCATAGGAGACTGCCACGGAGGTGCTGCTTTTACACACATGTCCTACGATGATTCTCGCATTATCCGCACCAACCTCATTCCAGAAGCTATGTCATCCACAACTCCAGCTATGCCTACGACAAAGGCGTCGATTTCACGAGTTCTGACTCCTTATGTCATGTACACCGATCCACAGCTTGGCCATGTTGGGCTCCACGCTAGAGACCTCGCCAACAGTTCAAGGGAAGTGAAGACTGCCACGATGCCTATGAGTTATGTTGCAAGGGCGCTGGAAACAGCAGAGCCACGCGGTATGATGAAGGCGACTGTGGATGCAAAAACCGGTGACATCTTGGGATTCACATGTTTGGGATTGGAAGGTGGTGAAATCATGTCGATTGTGCAAACCGCTATGATGGGTAATTTGAAGTGGTGGGATTTGGAAGCAGCTGTCTATGCTCATCCGACTCTGGCCGAGAGTCTGAACAACCTGTGGGGACACTGGGAATAACTGATGTATCTGAGCATGGCCATATATGATAGACATAGTATCAATATGAAGGCATTCAAACTGCTGTGCTCTGTGGTTGCGTGGCTGCGGCAGTTTGGCTTGTCTTCTTTTCAGCTGCCTCCGCTTTAGCACGTCGTTTCCTCGCTCGTCGCACCTCAATTTCCACGTGTAGCATTTCAGCGTTGACAGAAACAAGCCTTGGGATAATATCCTCTACTGCTTTCACGGAATGTGTCTGTGCCGTGCGGAGAGGCATAGGCGCGAATAACCCAAACCATTGCAAGGGGTTCCTGTTCTGTTGTCGCTTCTTTTCTGTAGGGCTGGCCTCTTTCGCCTCTGGTGTTGATGCATTGTCAGGCTTCTCGGCTGAGGAGGCTTCTTCCTTATCTGCTACATTGTCTTCGTCGGGAGCAGGAAAGAATGAGAAGCTAGGGCTCTGGCTTGCATTCTGCTCAATGGCAAGAAGGCGTGTTGCTTGCATTCTTTCATCGTAGTGATCCTGACCGTACCTCATGCCTCTCTCGCCAGCGAAATTAGCGCGGGCGATATTGTGAAAGACATCAGATTGAATCTGAGATAGACTCTGGCGGAGTTGACTGTATTCGTCTAGCAGGTTGAGATAGCGTTTAAGGAGCTCATCAATGTGTTGCTGCTCCTCCATGATGTGTGGTGATATATAAAAAGTGCTTGTTTCTGGGAAATCCAGAGGAATTCGGAGGCAATATAAGCGGAACAACGACGATGATCTGATTATAATTTGTTACAGAAAATGAATCACAAGTTTCGATGTAAATATATCATCGAGCGAATGAGTTGTAGTTGACAGGAGATTGATCAAAGCATGAGCCTGACTGTGCGGTATTGAAGCTGCCTGTCAAATGAACAGCTGTTCCCTTTAGGTTTAGCTTGATATGGTCCGCGGTGTCCGAGACATCCAGTTCGGGCAGTGAAGGACTACGTATACTTTTATATGTATATAAATAACCTCAATCTTGAACCTACAATAATTGTATTCTGTTTGAATTATTTAGGCTTCAGCTGAATTCTGTCACCTCCAACCTCTAAGCTTTACCTTCAGTGGCCCGCCCGTATACAAAACGGTTGGAATAGCGGACACAAACACTACTATACCCAGACTCCATCCGACAGTTGCCCAACCAGCGCTATCCTTGACCATTCCGCCCATTATAGGTCCTACCAGAGACCCTCCCGAGTATGCCATGTTATACAGGCCATACGCTTGAGCAATCTGCCCCGCACCTTCAGTGCCGTCCTCGCCCTGGACGGACCAAGTGATCTCGGCCATCAGGGGACCAAAGATGCAGGCCGTGGTGATGCCCACACCAGCCAAGAGCCCGCAAAGAAGGATCTTGTCTTGAATCGTATTCTCGTCGACGAACCTCAGACATACAACAAAGGGTGTGGCGAAGAGGAAGCCGAATGAAGCGAGCCACTTAGGCCCGTATCGATCGCCAACCATGCCAACCACAGGTCCCAGAAATGATGGCAGAATGACCGGGAGGAATATTAGTCCTGCTCCAATGGAGTCCCAGCCAAATAACTCGTGTGTGAGAAGGGGGAGAGTACTTTCGAGCGCCGTGTTGATAAGTGCCTGAACGAAGGTTCCCCACAGAGCAGCCAGGAATCGAGGCTGCCCCAGGAGCTTGACGAGTGTCTTGATAGGTGATCGTGATGGGTCTGACACGTCCTTGGTCTGCCCACCTGTTTGCTGAGCGATATTATCTTTGCTCTTCTCAATTTTCGGTTCCTCCGTTACGACACGTTCTGGATCTGCCTCGGCTATAGGTTCCGCCCTATCAAGCCACCTTTTGGTGTCCTTGACCTCGATGATGATAAGACGCAGGACAATGTCAACAGCGAGAAGGCCAAAGCACATGGCGAAAACGGAGTAGTAACCTCCCTTTCCATATACGAGACCTCCCAGTAGAGGTGCCACCAAGATGCCCAGACTGCAAGCTGTGCTGATCCAACCCATGGCTTTGCCGATATGCTCCTTGTCGACAGTATCGACAACAAGTGCAAGGCCAACAGTCCATGTTAGTGCGGCCGATATACCTTGCAGAGCACGGCCGATCATGAAGAGAGCAAGCGTGCGACCTACGCATAGAAAAACGGTAGCACCACACAATACAATAAGACCTATAAGCATAGGTACCCGGCGGTTGTGGATTCTGTCGGCTAGATAACCCCAGACAGCTGTTATAGTCACCATAAGTTATATACTATCACTTCAAGGGAGGACTGTGGACATACGAGAACCAGCCAAGAGTGCAGCACCAAACACGGCCAATGCTATGGAGACCCAGTACTGCACCCTTTTTGTGCTGATACCAATTCGATCCTGAAGAGAGAATGGAAGTATGGGAACGATGACACCATACAGAAAGATGTCCTGAGGCCATATTAGTCAACTGGCTCTTCAAAGTCGAAGAGCAACAGGCGACTTACAGTGAAGATTGCAAAGGAACATGTGGTGACGATGAGGCCAGCCGAGGACCGCACCTTGAGCAGAACCGGCGGCTTGTCCTTGTGAGGCCATCTTAGCAACCTCATGGCCAGCAATCGACAGTCGGTGCTTTGTTTAGCGAGCTTCTCAGGCCCGAGTGTTCATCATTTCAAGAGAGGTTAAAGCCTGGGAAGATGGATCTCAACTGACACTTTTCTAACATCTCTGTACCCACTTACTGCCCCCCGGATTGCGGACATCTCGCGCCCCGATGATGGACGGATGACAGGTCCGTATTCTCCGTTTGGGTTTAGCGCCATCTCGAGACTGTGATGTGATGAATGTGATGACTTTGAAGGTGAGATGTTTGCCGAAGATGCGGAGTATCTACAAGCTATTGATTACCAAGGTTTAGCTGCAGGAAGAAACTAGTTATAGATCTAGCAGAAGAAAGATGTGGGAGGCCGAGATGCAGGGTCAAATTATGCTTCAACGGCTCCTTAGTTAATGCTTAGGTTAGCCAAGACCATACTGTTACACGGAGAAGGAAAGAATTACAATAAAACCTAGATACATATATATAATTGGACATAGATTACTTGACGATCGTTCTGATGGTTTGTGGAAAACGGTAGTTGATGGTAGAAAGTTTTCGAAGCCCTCAACTGCCCAAGTAGACATATCTTGAGGGTCCATAAACAGGCCTTCCTTGAATCTGATAATGTCATCGTTTCTTTAATCATCGAGAACACTTGATGTTGATGATGGGAGACTACTAATTGGCTGTGGCGTTATAGTGTGGCATACTATACATTTCACAGCTGTTCCCCGTTGAGGTTCCCCGAATGCTACGCCGACGATAGCTTGGCAATGCAGGAAGATTGGTTCTTCCATATAGAAATAGGCGATCCGATCCTATAGGTTCATAAAAATTCCACGCTTATCGATACTATTCAAAGATTGGAATCATAAAGCATCACCTGAAGCGAACTCAGCAAAAGTAAATAAACGGGCGGGATAAACCTCTTCAAGCCACGAGACCGTGCAGATCGACAGATAACGAGCTGAACGGAGCTCATGTCTCAGTTTGAATCACGTATGATGAGAATATGCAATTTAACAAAAGCACCTTCGTGCAGGTGAGACAAGCAGATAAGCTGCACATTCCCCTCGTCCCATGTTGATAAGTTAGACCCCCAACATGCGATTGCGACAGGAGCATTATCAAGCTGAAATTGACAGGCGTGACAGAGCTGCAGCTGGAAGTCTGTTAAGGGTATGAATATGTGACAAGTTCACGAGGCTGATCTCCACTGCATAAACCTGAGCAGGGAGCCCTTGATCAAAGTAATATCCCTGGGCTGAAGCTTCAGTGTTGATGTCGGTAAGTTCCTATACTAGCGAGCGGGTGCTGGGATAAGTGATTCCGAGATTTGTGTCCGCGCGTGTCTCCCCGGTCACCGTTTATCACAGGGCTGTTGTGTTGTTTATCAGAGGGTAATGATACTCTGACTAGCGATATTGTCGCAGTGCAACAGGGACTCGAGAGACTCGGCAATTGCCAACAAACATGTTTTGTTCTTCTTCCTCTTCCTCTTCTTGTTGTTTCCCTTTGTTACCCTGCTTCGGGACGTCGCACACAGCACTCGAAGTGATCGTGTTAGGTGAAACGGGGGGGTTCTTTATTCGCATCTCCGAGCCAAAGGAGGTTGAAACACATAACACAAAGATCTTCGTCAATCCGCAGTGGCCAGTGGTCACGCGTGCGTCACAATTTGCATTCGCATCAAAGCACTCGACACTTGTAAAGCAGATCCCCTTGTTAAGCGAGAGCTTTGAATATAGGGGACCAAGGGCATGGACCAGAGAGAGCTACTTGCAACAAGCCCCCGACGCCTTCCGGATCACCAGATGGATAGGCTCTTAATGCGCTGCAACTTGCAAGGCGAGGCAATCAGGACCAGGCGGGAACAGAACGAGTCCAATCGGACATGTCACGATCTGATATACGACACCACCAGTGAAGCGAAGTCAAAGGACAAGCATACCCTTACAACAAAGCAACGCACGCACGGAGAACAATCGGATCTGACGAGCAGATCGTCGTCCCATTCTCTGACCCCTATTCCCTTACTTTTTTTTGTCACCTCTTTCTTTGGTTCTTGTCTTTATGCAAACACTTGGTGCCGGGTGGCCCAATCCTCGTGTCGCCATCAATTATCGCATTCGTCCTCTGCTACTAGCTGGTGTAAGTTAACGTCAATAACAAAGGGTCCTTGTTTGCGCCATTCAGCACGGTTCTCGCGCAGTCCCTCGAGGTCAAGTATTTGTTATGGCTAAAGGACTGGCTGACAGGCCTTTGTCCCAAATTTCCAAGCCAAAGACCAGAAAATTTGCCCCTGAGTTAGAAGGTTTCATATTTGCAACTGAGGGATACTCTGGATGGTTCTTATACGGGATAAGGCTGTCATTGAAGGAATGGCGTTGATGAATCAGGTATCCGCCTGATAAAGAGCTACTTTACCCTATGACGTCTATATGTGTGGTTGAAAGTATCTGGGTATTGATGACTAACAGTGGACCCTCCCTGCGCGCGGGCTCCCGTATCTTTGGGATGATGACGCTAAAAGGCCCTGAAGAGTTCCAGTATCGCCGTTGCACCTGCCATCCATGGATCGACGGACGCTCCAGAGTCCAGGCCTTGCCTCATTTCCATTCCATATTACGGCTTCTTGTGTCTGACATTGATTTTGCGTTATCATATCACTCACTTGGTGTCACTTATCAACAACTGTAATCTAATCATCGATTCGACTCGACTCCAATTTCGGATTCTTCTTGGTAAGGTAGGTATCTTGGATTTGCATCAAGAAGTCGGTAAACGATACCGACCAGCCAGCGCACAGCATCGCGACCTACCTAATCACTAACAGGTTGGTCTATTTCTTCATGGGTATCAGAGTCGTGACCACATCACCACCAACTCGACCATTTCGATCATAATCAGTACCTCACTCAGGATCTCCTGGAGTCTGCCTGACAACTCTATCCCCTTTCTCTTTTCTTTTCTTTTCTTTTCTGCTCTTTTACCTATAACCTCACATCGTGCATTTCTTTTCCCCTTCGTACCTTGTCCCCTCCACTCAGACTGGTAACGCATCCACCTCCCCAATCCACATTGGCCTGGCCTGGTCTCCTTTACTTGGTGCTTGTTTAGCCCATCAAGTAGAGGCGGTACTTTGCTGTACTGCTAAGCTGGCGGTTCTCACAAGTGTACTTGGCTGTACGTAGAGTACCTACCATTGGATGGGTGCTTGCCTGTCTAGGCTAAACATGGAACTGGGAGAGGTGCTGGCTTTGAACGTTCCAACCTCCCCCCTCTCTTCTCTCCCCGTCCCCGTAATACCATTTTCCTATCCCCTGCTCTGCCTGCCCCGTGCTAGGCTAGGCTGCCTTGTGCTGGTACCTCCAGGCTAATGCTACTGGTGTTGGTCCCTTTGCTTTGCCTTGCCTTACCTTACCTCACCTCAACTTGCTTTGCCTTGGTTTCCTGCCTGGCTTGGTTTTCTGCGGCGGTATCTGTCTGTCTGTGCTGCTACTTTGCTTCATCGAGGCCCACTACCACTGTACACGGCCTGTGCCTCTCTTTTTAACTCTTGCCAGCGCCTGTGCCTCTTCTCTTTTTGCTTGGACTGGACCCTTTACCAGCTGGTAGTCGCACGTCAATCAATCGTGTCTTCCACTCCCGCTCACCTCTCTTGTTGCAGGTTTGAAATTTCCGTTGACCGTAGCCTCCTCAGTCACTCCCAGGCTCTCCACCTCCACCCATTCGCTGGCCTAGATCCAGAACCCAAACCAAACCAAAGCGCACCTCAACGCAACTCCATACCAATCCGCTACCTAGACCTACCGAAAGCCGCATCCACCGCAATCTTGACTTGTCTTCAACCACCTCAATCCGCCATCAAACAGTACAACCCAACATATTCGCCTTCCCTCGACTTATCATCCTTATTTCGACCTATTCTCCCCGACACCTATTTGGACTCGACTTTCTCCGCTCCGCAACCCCCCGCTCTCTTACCGTAGTCGCGCGCATCCGCCCGCCAATAGAGCTTTACCACTCGACCGCTTGCATTTCACTTCAACATAGACGAGCTCCTGCCGAGGAGCTTTCGTGAGGAACAATGGCTGTTGTCGCAACTATTAAGTATGTTTTTATCGCTTGGATTTGTGCTGCCGCAATGCTTTGCGATGATTTGCTTCCTTTTGCTTGCTTTATCTCTACACCGAGATTGTCCTACGGCAAAGCACCCTAAGCATACCTGCGCATCTACTCTGCATGCCTGTTACCCTGTCCGCCATTCGCACAATCATTCTTGAGGCTAATCCGGTTTACCCCTTTTCTAGGTGCGTCGTCGTTGGTGACGGTGCTGTTGGAAAGACCTGTCTTCTCATCAGCTACACAACAAACAAGTTTCCCTCCGAATATGTCCCTACAGTCTTCGACAACTACGCAGTTACGGTTATGTGAGTCTACCTGCACGCCTATCGATCGACACCAGCCCCCCACAGGGTATCCCCACCTGCAATGGACGTCTTCAGTCATGAAAGCCATCACCGACTTCTGGCTTGAGCAGTGTGATGGATTCTGTGATAAGAGGGGCGATCTACGGATATGTTTGATGGGCGGCAACTTGGCCAGTCGAAGAAGGGTTGCTGATTACTTACAGGATAGGAGATGAGCCGTACACTCTCGGTTTGTTCGATACCGCTGGTCAAGAAGATTATGACAGACTGCGACCTCTTTCATATCCCCAGACCGATGTCTTCCTCGTCTGCTTTTCCGTCACCTCGCCTGCTTCCTTCGAAAACGTCCGCGAGAAGTGGTTCCCCGAGGTCCGCCACCACTGCCCTGGCGTTCCCTGTTTGATTGTTGGTACCCAGGTGGATTTGAGGGACGACCCTAGTGTTCGAGAGAAGCTGTCAAAGCAAAAGATGCAACCAGTACGACGAGAGGATGGTGAACGAATGGCGAAGGACCTGGGTGCTGTCAAGTACGTTGAATGCAGTGCTCTCACCCAGTATAAGCTTAAGGATGTATTTGACGAGGTATGTCTTTACTGTTTGAAAAACCTCCCCCATCTATAAACGTTACTTGAAACATTTGCTGATTGTATTATACAGGCTATCGTTGCAGCACTTGAGCCCCCTGCTCCTAAAAAGAAGTCACACAAGTGCCTTGTCCTATAAACGGAAATGGGATAGCCGCAGCCGAGCTATGACACCACCTTCTCCTACTTCCCCTGGGAATTTTTGGTTGAGTTAGGAACATGCCCAGTAGACATGCACGAATAGAGTTCTTTGGCGAAGGCACGGCAAGACGACATTGGGATGACCTGCGCTGGTGGAACGGAACGTTATGGGTTTCAAAGAGAGTGTTCGTTCTTTGCATGAGGTGAACTAAGAGACGGAACAAAACTCGGGGAGCAGGCGTCCTGTTCCGCAACGAGAAGAGGAAGAAGGTTTTGAAGGGGTGGCACCGATCGAGAGCTGCCGGGAGCCGCTGCGCGTAGCCCCCAGCCGGAACTTCCACCGAAAAGCCTCTTCTATCCCAGTGGTCTCCCCGAGTTTCTTTAGGCTGGGATCCAATGCATCTTGTTCTCTGGCCCTCGCGAGATGGATCAAGTGGCAAGAGAAAGGACTGGTAGCGGACGAAGACAACGATTCACACATCTAGGCGGGAATGCTTTGATAGGAAAGTTTGGCGATTGGGGTGATTTACATCAATGTCTTGTCTTGATTCATACTAAGTTATAGAAAATTTTGTATTTCATGTTTCAACCTTTCAATGGATCATGTTGACTAGCACCGGTGAACTTGCACTGAGATATGTTTCGGCGGATGAAGAAGCATAGTGGCATGAAGTATGGTCTTCGCTTTCAACTCGTCCAGCAAGTATGTTAGATCTTGCGGGGTTTCAAAGCTACCTGGTAAAGCTCTTCATACGTACTTGACCTGGGGAAATGCACTTGGCAGGCAAACCCTTGCTTGCCAGCTCGGTAGATGGATCGGGCCCGGACTGTCCTTGGGACCGGCTAACTGCCGGTGTATATTGTAGATCAAGTGTAGTTATCAACATAGTAGTTGATGTTGAAAGGGACATATTACTTGTCTGGGATGATGTCCTGTTTGAGACAAAGACAGACTGTTCTCCTCGAGTGCTGCAAGGTGTGGTGAATGACGGAGGGTACTGCGCCTTTTGACAGACAAGTGTACACCCTATGCGATGTGTATTAAGCATGATGCGTAATGGAACAAATATGTGTTGTCCGTAAAATGGTCCTGGAAATTAAGATACCTAGAAGATGCCTGCTCCTCAACAGTAAGGTATGACTGTAAGAGCCACACGTGAGATAGAAGGGAACTTGATATTGTAAAGTCAAAGAATGTTAGGGGATATCCCCGTTTATAACTGTTTGGCAAACAATTCTGCGGCTGAAGATGATTTGACTTTGTTAAGAATACCTAACGTTGCCGGTAGATATGAGGTGCCGTCGCCCCAACTTTCCTATCTCAACCTAGTTCCACACCAAAGACCCATTTTCTGGTCACTATCTCTCAACCCAAAAGTGAAATCATAGGGCCTCTATGTGCAATTCTATGCCTGAATCAGGCAAATTCGCTCCCTAAACCTCATGAGGGCTCGAGGCGGGGAAGAAAGACAACTGCGGGGAGATCGTTATCCGGTCAGAACTGCCTCGATTGACCAATCGGCGATCTTCATATCTCTCTTTTGAGGCTTTCATTGAGTTGAGGTATGTTTAATCTGATGGATCTTGACTCGTGGGGCCGGATGCCCGCCCGGTGGAGGGTGAAGCATAGGTAGTGACTATATAGACCTCACTGGTTGCCTCTCTTTTCTTCTGCTTCTTTCTCTCTTCTTGTGATTCTAAGTTCACATATTTGCAAGTTGAATTCATTGGTGAATTACAACTGCCGCTCATCATGAAGCTCCTAAACGTTCTCGCTTTGGCGGGGCTGGCCACAGCTTGCGCTCATGATCATGATGATAAGGAGTGGACGAAAGAGGAACTTGATGAGCTTGAGCAGAAATGGGGTTATGAGGTATGTGATAGGCTCTTGGTAGAGAAGGCTCCAAGTGTCTCACCAAACACATCATGACTATCATGAGAGGTCTATATACTGACTCCTCGCAGTGGCCCTTTGCTGGCATCAACACATTTGCCCATCTCAACCATGTAAAGTGCCTCACTGAACCCACTGAGCCTTTCGATATTGCTATTGTCGGTGCTCCTTTCGACACAGCGGTGAGCTACCGCCCAGGAGCTCGTTTTGGCCCACGAGCTATTCGCTCTGCATCTGCTCGTCAGACATCCATGCGTGGATTCAACCCTCGAGCTGGTATTAACCCTTACCAGAACTGGGCTAAGATTGTGGACTGTGGTGATATTTCTATCACCCCCATCGACAACAACATTGCTCGCGAGCAGATGACCCAGGCTTTCAAGCAGCTTGGTCGCCGCAAGACAGTTTCTGCGCTTGCGCCCAAGGCTCGACTGGTAACTTTGGGTGGTGATCACTCTTTGGCTCTCCCTGCTTTGAGAGCGTTGAACGAGATTCATGGGAAGCCTATCCAGGTCCTGCACTTCGATGGTGGGTTGATTGTGCCCTTCGTCAACTATCTTGTGAAGAACCTCATTAACACATCCACCACAGCTCATCTCGATACCTGGAACCCAGCTGCCTATCCTTCGTGGTGGGGAGCCACTCAGTTTACCCACGGCTCCATGTTTTGGATGGCCAACCAGGAAGGTCTCCTTTCAAACTCCTCCTCTGAACGCTCCGTTCATGCCGGTCTACGCACTAGGCTCTCAGGTAACGACTTTGCCGACAACGAGGACGACACCTCCCAAGGCTGGGTCCGCTTCACAGCCGACGATATTGATGATCTCGGTACCAAGGGAATAATCGACGGTATCCTTAAGGTCCTTGGTACCGAGAACCCTGTGTATCTCTCCGTCGACATCGATGTTCTGGATCCCGCCTTTGCACCCGGCACCGGAACCCCTGAGCCCGGTGGTTGGTCTACCCGCGAGTTCATCCGCATTCTTCGCGGCCTCGAGGGCTTGAACCTAGTTGGTGCTGATGTTGTTGAGGTGTCTCCTGCTTACCAGAATGGTGGTGAGGAGACAGCTCTGGCTGCTGCTCAGGTTGTGTATGAGATCATTAGCTCCATGGTCAAGAGAGGCCTTCAGGATGGCGGAAAGGAGGGCAATGGCGGCAATGCTGCTGCTGGTAAAGATGAGTTGTAAGTGGCATCAAGAGATGTGGCGTTATGTGTTATGAATGATAATGAGGACTTGCATGGGTTTTGGTCAGCGTCAAAAGAATGTACATGAAATGGAGAGGGTGTGATTTATAGCAGAGAAAAATATCATTGAAATTACTGAACTGTTCTGGTTCTTCCATTCTGGTTTCTCGGCAAATACTGCTACTGGTTTTAAAATTGCATACGTTTCACAGAACAATTCCATGAATAATACTCAGACTTATGGACGACTGACAGAGAGGATCATAAGATGAACTTGTTGAAGTTCAACGAAAGGGTCGAGAGGAACTACCTCAACGACTTTGCCTACAAGGTTTCCTTTGTTGGTGACATCTTGTAAGTCTAACTTGGGATGCTGCAATATTTGACTGGCTATTTGAACCATCTACCCGAAGTAGCAAACAAACTATGAAGCCTCGTCGTGCAACCCCATTTAGTATCAAAGGAACGTGTCTGTGCCACAGGTAACGGCTTGAGGGAACACTCGAAAGCCTTCGAGTCCTACGGGTCTCAGACCTATAGAAGGCTTGTGAGCAGCCTGGGAGAACTGAGAAGTGGCACGGAAATGGTCGAGCTTCGGTGCCTGCAATTGAACACCCAATCCTCCATATCAGTACGAACCATTATTGGTTGACGAATTGTGGTTTTACGTTGAGTTCAGTGCAAATACTCGCCAATAATTAACCATGAGTTTCGCTTGGCAGATGTGGTTGGAGATCTAATAGATATGATTAATGAATCCCTGAGGTAGTCACGTTCTCTCAAGGATAGGATGTAAGATGGTTTCCTTGACACTGACAGCACAAAGGGGGCATGGAACTCTCAGGGATGATAGGCGAGGTCTGGAGTTCGCCAAGATGGGATAGTAGCTGGTCAAGGCGCAGTATCCGTAGCATCGCGGGACGTGGGATCAGAGATGGAACCACTAACAGTAGTAGCATTAAATGAAATGCCACTTTCAGACCGACGTTTCTGTTCAACTCACTTAGGTGAGAGTTGGTGAACATTATGCGCAACCGGGAGTACAAGACTCTCAGCGTCAACTAGGAATGTATCCGCACACACTTCGAACCATTGAAAGCGGGTGGCGCGTCTGCGAAGCGCCTGAGACGCTTCCGAAAATAGAATTGACTTCCATGTTCTGAAGGCGATTGTGTTTGGGAGTGAGGTGCTTCAAGACTAGGGCCCGTGTTGATGTTTCACGGCGACTGGGGACCATGTAACAAGGGGAAGAATACGAATCGAATCGTTTTCCCTTCTTCTCGCTTGTACGACTTGTACTGAACTTTGAAGTACGTACAAAGATTGGGTGTAGTAGCCGCCATAGAGAGGCTCGTTCTGCGTGTCTTATATGAGCGGCTGGTTAGACTGAGCTACGATGAACTGTCTGATATTAGAGGCTCTGTTGGATCTGCAAGAGTCTCTAACGATACAGCTGTCAAACTGGCCTCACGCTGAGGGCATTTGAGCGTTTCAAGTGACGCGGGTGAAGTTACTCTTTGAGCTTTGAGCAAGTTTAGCGCGAAGAAACGGGCGGACCGTCAGACCCATTAATAAATAACCCATACGGAGTACATAATCATGAGTTAGGGGTCCAGTTTGTGCCAGGGGTGAAGAGAAGCGGTTGAGCGACTGTGGAATATGGATAATGGATGTATAATCACAGAGTTGGTTAAAAATTGGGGCATGAGCTGTAATGGTCATAGATCTTGGTAGAGACACAGTTGAGGAATGTTTCCACTGATGGTGACACTTGAATTGAGTAGATTCTCGTATATGCTGCATCCAAAGTCTATTCAGCATTGCTTTGGTCTCAATTTCATCATCATGCTATTTTATCCCAAAACAAAACCGGCCTAGCTCAGAATGGACAAGTCATGTCTGCTTTCATCAGGACCTACCTGAAAACTATCTGCACAACAATTACAGAGTAATAATAGCAGACTGGCTACCCCTATCTGATCCTGAGCCCAGATTTGATCGCGTGGTATGGATGGATATTCACCGGCAGATCCAAGAAGCCAAGCCGAGACAAACAGTCCAGTCTCCCAGATGGACGGGATTGGATTGCATGTTTCCCAACAAGGGGAAGCTTGTCTGTATGTAACATTGCAGTGCATATAATGTTATTTGCATCTCCAACACTGGATATCTTCAAACGACGGAACCGGTCGATGAAGGGCTGCTATTGATGGAAACTCATTATCCAGGACTAACCTTTTACCATAGATGTTCTGATACACTTGCTTTACTTCAGGCTGTTTCTATTGTCATTCCCAACTGGTATTGACTGACGATCAACGACTTCGGTTCAGTCCGTCACCGACCTTTAGTGACAACTAATCGACATGATCCCTGTCAGGGTCATTAAACTATCGGAGCAGCCAATTCCAACCTTGACCCCCTTTAGGCAATGGTCCCCTTGTCCAATGTCCCCTCACGGGCCCCTGATGTTGATGCTGGCCCCCCAGGCCCCAGAGCCTCCCCTTCTCCACAGCCCAACAGAGGCAATGCGTTGTCTGTCTCTTTGAACCACGAGACTTGGCCTTCAGCTCCCCCTGAAAAGATGCACCAATCCTCTCCTTTCAGTCCCTGACTGGCTCGCCGTTGTCCGTCGTCGGTAGCCTCTAAGCCCGTCTTGGTCTTAGTCCAATAGCTTTCACCTTTAGCCTCGACCGTTCATTTTGTGTTGGTGTTTTGTGCATGTGCTATTGATGAATTGTGCATCCACTCACTCACTCACTGTCTCTTCTCTTCTTTCATTTCCATGACCGTGAATTGACCACTTCATGACTCTATTCATTCATGCAGTTGGTTAGTGGAGGCACTGAGCAGTAGCATATTGTACATAATTATTTTATCACCGTTGGATTGCTGCATTCATTCTTGCCGCTCATCAGCTCTTTCCTGTCTTCTTTTCATGATCAACAAGTCATCTTTGATCATTCTTTCCGTTCTCGATCTTCTAACTTCATCCATTCCTTCTTCAACTTCTTATTATCAATCCGTCCTTTTCCATCAACATCCTCTTCTCATAATCTCAACCTCTACCTTTTCTTCTTATTCTTCTTCTCTCATTTCATAATTATCCCTTCTCAATCTACAACTCCACCCACCCACCGAACCCTCCTCCACCTCATTCCCTACCAGGTTTGTCTGGGCCTTTTTTTCTCTCCCTCCCTGGCGCCTCTTTGCTCATTTGAGCATTATTACCTTGCATTATTTCCAACCTACTGGACTGGCTTTTTTGTACCTACAGGCTATGGGCTACCACCCACAGCTAATCATTCGAGCTTCTATTACATTACTTGTCGGCCTGAGGCTCACCGAGCACACCCCCTGTGTTTCCTGGTCCCTGATCTTTTGGAGGTCAACCTAGACGGCATCGAAATTCATCCCTCTCTCTCCCTCCTTTGACTCCTTCTTCCCTCCACATCTGTACCGTCCTCTCATCGACGCCGACTTTTGTCTCTTCTTCTTCTCCGTCAAGTCTCGTCTCTCATACTCACTCACTGTCTAGAGCTTTCATTGATTGCTCCTTGGCAGATGCAGTGTCGTTCTTCCTTCTGTTGAGACTACACTTTTCGGCTTCGTCGACACTCGTTTCGGCCATATTGCTTTATTAATACTTTTACCTGCTCAGCTCACTTTGTCCCTGGATATCATCCTAAGCTCGGCAAAGCTACACACACTTGTGCTTTACGTTTCTCGTTCGACATTTCGATACACTCGCTCTTGCAACCGATTACCATTATTTTGCATCTTCAGCCTCACCAAACCCTACGGTTTCGATTCGGCCGAAAGTCTTTCAAATTCGATCGCCATATATACTAAACGGTCGCTTCCTGGAACGACCTTTTTCATTTTACAGAGCTGCCTTAACTTATTCTCTTTCGAATAAGTCAATCCGCTTCATAATATTCGATTTTATCGACTTTATTCTGCATATCTAGTTGCTTTAGCATTGTTATACGGCCTGCTTTGACTCGCTGGATTCTCGTGATTTGACCGATTTCCTGAAAAATCAGCTCTGCTGTGCAGTCAGTGAACTTGAGACTTGGAACGTCTGAAATTCTTCAGTCGGATCATCCCCCAACTTCGCAGCTCTCTCCGTGCCTTACTCGGGCACAACCAATTCTTCAAAACGGCTGTACTGTCGCACGTCGGGCGGGACTCGCTCGTCCCCCCTCATCTGCTCGGTATGCAAGACCTAAATGGACCCGTTGGCCAGGGTGCCCCTAATGGCCCTGCCAACCGCTTCGGACATGCCTCCAAGCCTTCCAACAGCGATACTGGTTTCTCTCATGGCGCCTTCAACTCCAACATCTCTGGCTTCGCCGACCGACATCCTCGACGAGGTAACATCCCTTCGATCAACACCCAGCCTCAGCCTATGGTCCAGCAGGCTTCGAACAATGGAGTGGACATGGCTACCCCGGGGACTGCATTTGATATGCAGTTCACCCCCCTTTTGCCTTCTCAGCTGCTTCTCGGCAGCCCTTTTCAGCCCGGTACACCGGCTGCTTTTGCCAGTCCTCAGTTTCAGAGCATCCCCGGATTTCAGCAACAGCAGGGAAACAACCAGCAGCAGAATGGTATCTCCAGCCCTGTGCAGCAGACCATTTCTCCTCAGTCATACCAAGGAATAGTGTCTCCGTCCACTTATGGTGCTCCTCAATTCTACCCTCCCCAGTCCCCCACTGGCGGTTTCGGTATGCAGGCACCTCTGCCTCCTACCTCTCCCGTCTCAATGGGATCCGGTGTTGTTACAGGAACCAGCCGAACTGTTTACCTTGGTAACATCCCTCCGGACACTGTGGCTGAGGAGATTCTTGGTCATGTTCGAAGTGGTCAAATCGAGTCAGTCCGCCTTCTGCCCGACAAGAACTGTGCTTTCATCTCGTTCCTTGACGCTAGCTCCGCCACTCACTTCCATTCCGATGCCATCTTGAAAAAGCTCTGCATCAAGGGCCAGGACATCAAGATTGGTTGGGGTAAGCCTTCGCAGGTCCCGACCTCTGTTGCTCTGGCTGTCCAACAATCTGGAGCTTCACGAAACGTGTACTTGGGCAATCTGCCTGAGGAAGTTAGCGAGGAGGAACTGCGCGAGGACCTTGGTAAGTTTGGTGCCATTGACACAATCAAGATCGTCCGCGAGAAGAACATTGCCTTTGTCCACTACCTCTCGATTGCCAACGCCATCAAGGCTGTCTCTCAGCTTCCTCAAGAGCCCAAGTGGCAGGCCCCTCGCCGCGTCTACTACGGAAAAGATCGTTGCGCCTACGTTTCCAAGACTCAACAGCAAAATGCTGCTCAGTACCTGGGCATTGCTCCTGGATACGCCCACATGCTCACAGGTGCCGACCGTGACTTGATCTCGAATGCTTTGGCCCAGCAATCTGTTGCTGCTGCTGCCGTCGCTACGACTGCTGGAGGTATCAACAACCTCGGTAACCGAACCATCTATCTTGGCAACATCCACCCTGAGACGACCATTGAGGAGATTTGCAATGTGGTTCGTGGCGGACTTCTTCACCACATCCGTTACATTCCCGACAAGCACATATGCTTCGTTACCTTCATCGATCCCACCGCTGCTGCTTCGTTTTACGCTCTGAGCAACATTCAGGGCCTCATGATCCACAACCGACGCCTCAAGATTGGCTGGGGCAAGCACTCCGGAGCTCTTCCTCCTGCCATCGCGCTGGCTGTGAGTGGTGGTGCTTCCCGAAACGTCTACATTGGTAACCTTGACGAAACCTGGACCGAGGAGCGTCTACGACAGGACTTTTCCGAGTATGGTGAGATTGAGCTTGTCAACACTTTGCGTGAGAAGAGCTGTGCTTTCGTAAACTTCACCAACATCGCCAACGCCATCAAGGCCATTGAGGCCATCCGAGGCCGAGACGACTACAGGAAGTTCAAGGTCAACTTTGGCAAAGATCGTTGCGGTAACCCTCCTCGTCAGATGCAGCAGTCGCAGTCTCCTCGTGGCGATGGTGTGTCTTCTCCTCCACCTAACGGCTCCCAGAACAGCGGTTCTCCCACCAACGGCAACACTCCCCAGCAATCAGCTGCTCTCTTCAATGCTAACAGCAATCCTTTGACAATGTATCTGAACCAGGTCTCTCACCAGGCCCAGCAGCAACAACATCACCAGCAACAGCAGATCGCTGCTCAACAAAATGCCCTGTTTGGTACCGCCCAGCCATCTCCTAGCGATCTCGATCTCGCCATGTCCCAGCAAGTGCCTGTTTCAGGCCATGGACAGTCAGCGAGCATTTCGAATGGATACTCGGCCAACAGCGCAGCACCAGGTGCTACTACGATTGGTGGCTTGCTAGCACCAGGCCGAGGTCAGCATAGCAGAGCGGTCAGTCTTCCTGTACTTGCCCCTGGATTTGAGAACGGTGGAAATGCCTCCAACGGTATTCCCGGAGCTGAGACCGAGCAACGACGAGGTCATCATTACCAGGCAAGCTACGGCGGTATGGGGTCTGGATTTGGCCTTGCTATTCAAGGAGGCCTGAACGGTTGGGTTGAGGAGGAAGTTGCAAACTAATGACGCTTGTGCATCTTTATGCTTTCACTCTCATCACAAGCGAGATTGAACGAAAAACTTGCTTAAACGTTGTAATCGACGTCACTTGTGGCGTTATGTCCTTGATTCTTGGGGCTTTACAGACCTTCATTCTTTGATTTCCCTTTTTCTTGATAATTTACCCCTTCGGTGTATCTTTTTTTGTATTGCAAGTTGGTCTCGACTTTTTATGTTTTGCTCATGAGAGGAAGAGAGCATTCGGAAGAAATGGGATTTGTGATTAATACGCCCCCTTTGTGAAAGATGGGAGCGCTCATGGTTGAGACGAGACGCTGTTTGAACTGGAGAGAATTCAGCATGGGATGGATGGATGGATGAGAGGATATATCATTTGCGTTTATGTCTATTACGGAGTCTTAGGTTAGGTTAGGCACTACAGTCTTGAACGCAGATCATATGATCACTTAACAATATGTCTATTTATGTCTGTGACAGTTCAGTTCTTCTACATGGGTGGTGTCTTATGCATGTACCTAATTAGTTTATAGCCGCCGATTTGAGGTCTCGAGGTCGTTGACAGCAGAAAGAGATTAGAGCCTAATGGTAAATGCACGCAGTCTCCAGGACTGGGGCAGTGTTAAATATTAGAGGATCTCGGTTACCTCCCATGTGCTTGCAGATTATTTTCACAATTAATATCCCGATGGCTCGGGCTTAGAAGGAAAGGCTGGGTCCTTTATATTGGCGCGACACTGTTGTTTCCAGTTTATGGGTGTGAACTTATCCACAATCTCCTTGAAGGCCTCCTGTTGACGGGTAAGTAACGCACGACACCAGTCTTGATTCCAGAGTTGGTAAGGAGGAGATTATTAGAGCGTACCAAAGTGCAAAAGGACTCATCACCATCAAGATGCTTGCCTGTTGGTGCACAGCCAGGGATAGTCACCGGGCGGTCATTGTAGCGCAGGCGGACATAGTAACCCTTCAGGCGCTCCTTTTCGTTCTCTGTCAGGTCTGGAGTCTTCTTCCGGCCGATGCCTGGGGGTGGTAATCCAGCATGGGAGGCTCCTTTACTACCCAAGCCGAAGAAGGACAGGAAGCCAGTGGGTTTAGGGGCTTCAGGAGGAGGTGTGGCGCCTGCATTGACGTGACGGAATAGTTCAATCGCGACGTGACTTGTGAAAGGCGGCCAGGCCTCTTCGTTGAAGGCGCCGAGGCTGGCGAGTGTGGCAGCAAGAGTGGTATCGTGACAGCCGCTCATTCCAAATCGTACAGGTTGTGGTGTAGTAGCAGATACCTTGTTGAGAGCCAGCTCATACTCGCCATCAGCAGTAGAACGCTCAGCACTGCCGACCATACGAGAGACAACGTCTCCGAGAAGTCCACCAATGCCTAGAGTGCGGTACTCCTCACTCTCTTTGTATCCGGCATACCACTCCTCAACACCGATCTTCTCAATAATTCGCTTGACTTCTCGATCGTAGAACTCTTTAGGTAACCGAGTGGCTTGACCGTGGGCCTTTGTAGCATTGATAGTGTCCATGATACCACTAAGGCGAGGACGAGAGTCCACAGCAACGTGCGGGTGTTCCTCAGGCATCCAGCGACCGAGGCGTTTTGTCAAATATGCCATCTCGTCGGAGTCGTTCCAGCGATCAGCACAGCGCTGAGCAAAAGCGCGTGCGAGAGCAGCGAAGCGTCGACAGTTGCCATCATTGGGGAAGAGGGTTTCGTCAGCAGGTGATCGAGTAAGGATTGTGGGAGGATGAAGGCCAGAGGCGCGAGCTGAGGGAGGATAGAGGCCGTAGAAAGCTTGCTGAAGAGATTCAAGAGCGCGGGGTATAGGTGTAGCGCGGAGGTAGATGGCAGCTGTGTCAGTGTCAAAAGCGAGTTTTTCCGGCAAGAAGCGAAGCTGATCGACGTAGAGATGGCGCAGGCGCTGGCCAAGATTATACGTTGTTTCTCGTCCACGATCGGTCAACATGCCCATATCGCAGATAGCATCAAGCTCGCCATTGCGGCCAGTGGCTAAGATAGGCGCATCATCAGGCCCAAAGGTCTCGAGACGGCGCTTCCACTCGAGAGCAGTAAGGCCTGGGTTGTCGGCGGGATCGACATGGGTGTCGGTGGCAGAAGGATCGAGAATGACGCTGGTTAAACGACGAGCTGCAGAGCAGTATGGCCAGAAAGGTGCAAGGCCTGTGGAAGTGAAGCGAGCGGTGATAGGTGTGCGTTCGCCGTGACGGAGAAGGATCTGGACGAGTTGCAGACGTAGTTGAGGCGGATAAAGGTTCTTGATCTCAGCTTCTGAGTACGGAGGTCGGGGTTCGAGAGTTGACATTGTGACGGTCCGGCGGGTATCGAGAGCTGGCGGTGACTCTGATGATCAATGATAGCTTTGCTTCAGGACAGAATCGTCTGGTTTCGAGGTCATGACATAACGATCCGATTAAATCTTGGTAATAGCTCCGTTGCGCCGCCCGGGCCGCGTCGGCGCCGTTGACCGGGGCCGAGTGGGGCTATAGCACGAGGGGAAGAAAGTCGGTGGATGACGTTGACGATGGCGTTGAGAACATAGTGCGGGTTAGCTGCCAAGTTTAGCATAACTAATATAATCTTTGTTGATTGCAGAAGATAGCTATCATCATGACCAAGGCTGAGGCTTCTTGAAGAGATCCGCTCTCTTTTGCATTAAGATCTTCATTCCTTTTGAATCCTCAAGGCTGTGCTGGCATATCAATGCTACTAGGAGTTCTTGGTACTGTGATGTTACCCACCGAAAGCTGCAAGGAACAGTTCCTTCCGATCGGTAACAGTTGTCAACTCTGATCAAGACTTTCTGTAGAATTACCCAAGGTATCTTCCGATTCTATTGCCTATTTCTTATCACCTTTCACATGTAAAGTCGAGTCTCACGATAGAATCATCTCCTTTTTCAAGGGTCCACAAGTTGAGGGTCCATTATCACATGAACATGTGGATGTCTCCTGCCTCGTGCGTGTTGAATCTTGGTCTAATGTCTTGGCTCCTTCCCGAATAAGGGCTTTCATCCTAGGTTCGTTCCTACCATTCGGGAGTTGTAAGAGACTAAAGATATGTATAACACCAAAAGTTGATCAGTTCTAGGCGTATCATTACCTATCCCTAGCATCAATAACGACGACCTACGACAACCTACGATTACACAATTGATCATCATCAGCCTCAGCCTTCACTTCGCCCTATGACCTGTTGATCAATTCCCCAGAAAACAGCTTGTCGGCCCGTAATTGGTCCAGAATCCGCGGTTTATTTAATCCCATTACACCATGACCTCATTAAATCAACGACGATCAGGGCCAATGCTTGGGAGCTTCCACTAGGACTATCCGTAATCGATACTTCAAAAGCCGACTTCCTTCTTTCTTTTAAAGACAATAATACTTCATAAGCAACGTTGCGCTCACCCGCCCGAAACAGTCAATACGAGAACGAAAGAGAACAAACGGCATATACCTAAACACCAACCATCAATCGTGGATCCATCCACACCCGGCCTTCCCGGATCAGCACACACAGCCGCATTGCTGGACAGATTGAGTGATTCCTTTCTGATCTCTCTCTGGCCTAGCTCCACCGTCTGTCTTCTCCGTCTCCGTGATTTGTTTTAGGCCGAGGAACAAACAAGAACCGCACAGCTGCCATGCCTGATAATCCTTCGCTTTACCTTCCTTAAATAACCTCTTCTCCTAGTGTCGCGTCTTGCCGGCTAAGTCGCCTGTTCAACATACACACAGACCTCGGTCCTTTTCACAAAGCCCGCCGTTCAACCCAAACTCCCGTTCTTGTCTTCTGGTTGTGTCAGGCTGGGGGTTGTAACTGGGCTCAATTAAGTGAGCCATGGCAACGAAACCGCCGAATGAACCTCTACCTGATATTCCAAGTCCAGATATTCAGGATGATGATGACTCAATCATTTGCAATCAAGATGAGGCTGAGGCAATATTGCAACCTGCTCTTAGTGATGCTGCTAGACATTTGACCTCACAAAACACGCCGGCCATCGAGAAAGCCTTAGCACTGGACAAGAGTCGAGCCGGATTGTTCGATGTGCCCATCGATAAACACGGTGACACAAGCCCTGATCTTTCATCTTCGCCCGAGACAACACCCCAGGTACCACAGATTGCTACCCCAGAGAGACCACCCGCAAAAGTATCGCCCATTCAGCAGTACCGAAATGCTTTGCCTTCACCCTGGCAGGCTCAGCCGAAGCCTACAACCAAAGGTTCCACAAGCAGACCATCAGGAAGTATTCTGGGAAATGCCTTAGCTCCAGCTCGAAATCGTTCCAGGTCGGCAGGCCAAGAAGCACTAAGGAGACTGCAGAAAGCATGGCCTTCTCTTAGCCCTCCGACGCATCTGTTACCCTCGATGTCAAACTCGTTCTTTTCCAGCTCACACGACAAAGCAAGTGCCAGTACGTCAGGTGTCTCGAGTCACTCATCACCAGCAGCCCGCCTGCATTCGCCTCATATTCCTTCTGATGCGCTTGGTGTCTCTCAAGTGAGGCCTAGTCCGTCTCCGCAACAGGCTCGAGGACTCGCTTCTGCTCCTCGGGGTCCTAACGCAGCCTCTGCGTCTGTACGACCCAGGGTTCTTCGACGGGTCACTTCTGATGAGAGTCACTTATATCACAGTCTTTCTCGCACTTCTTCTCTCGGTGACGACGAACAATTCCAGGATGTTCGTGAAATGGTCAATATTCGGTTCATGGCCTTGAAAGACAGCCTTCCTGACGTTCCAAACTTCAAGATGCCTAGCCTGCCCAAGCTTTACAGCCAAGCACGGAAGTCAACTCATTCACTCGGTGCATTCCACTCACCCGAACCGTCACCAACTCGCGCTCAGCCCCCCAAGGACTTCGATGTCAGCTCAAAGGATGGATCTGCTGTTCTCGATCGCGTCCTGGAGTCTCTGACTGGGGACTTGGTGATTATGGGCGGATACCGTGGTTCCGTCTTACGATCTGCCGAGCCACCTCACCAACAGGTCTGGGCCCCTGTGAAACTCGGCCTCAACATGCGAAAGGTCAATCTCGAAGTTGGCTTAGAGGATGAGGACGAGGAAAGAATGGAAGAAACTATTAAGCCTGACGGTATGCTGAAACACATCGGCCCCGTCGACGTCTCTCGAAAGTTTATCAAGAGACTGCGCTCGTGCGATAATGCTCGATCGGGAAAGCTGCGAATTTGGGACTATGGTTATGACTGGCGCCTGAGCCCGCATTTACTGTCTCGTAAATTACAAGAATATCTCCAAAAACTCCCTTCAAACCAAGGAGGGACACCGGCTGGATCTCGTGGAGCTCTTGTCATATCTCACAGTTTGGGTGGTATCATCACACGGCATGCTGTCAACCAGAGACCTGATCTCTTCTCAGGGGTCTTGTACTGCGGCACACCGCAACGTTGCGTCAATATCCTGAACCCTCTTCGCCACGGTGATGTAGTCCTCCTGAATGAGAAGCTTCTCACAGCAAGCGTCAATTTCAGCATGCGGACGTCCTTCGTCTTTCTGCCTGAGGATGGTTTTTGTTTTGTGGATAAGAATACGGGAGAAGAGTATCCCATCGACTTTTACGATCCTCAGGAATGGATCAGGTGGCATCTGAGCCCGTGTATGCAGCCGGCTTTGCCGCCTCGCAACCGTCCTCAGTCATCTTCCTTCTCGTCCTTCCTCCCAAACTCTCTTCGGACTCGTGCTGACAGTAAGAGCGAGAAATGGCCACCTTCACCAACGGCGGCTGCCCGAGATCACAACCCTATCGCACCCCAGCTCAATGGAAGTGGTGCAAATGTGGAAGAATCAAAGCCTTCGGATCTGCAGCGTAAGCGTTACTTGGATTATCTCACCCGAACACTCGCAGCGACTCGCAAGTTTCGCTCAGAATTGGCCCACTTGCCAAGGCACCAGGAAGCCAACGCCTATCCTCCTCACGCTGTGTTATACGGCAAAAGTATTCCCACGGTGTACGCAGCCCAGGTCACTGGCCGTGAGGGTATATGCTATTCTGATGCCTACGACGATCTTCTCTTCCGACCAGGTGATGGCGTTGTCTTGGCCAAGGAAGCCATGCTTCCGGAAGGCTACTCTATCGCTCGCGGCGGTCGTGTCTGTACCGAGCGCGGCCACATCACAATGCTCGGCGATCTGCCGGCCATGGGAAAGGCACTCGAGGCACTTGTCAGGGGCAGGCGGAAGGGCATCGGCATGGGCACTGGTGGTGACGAGGCAAAATAGACGGGTTCCGGCCGTGTCGGGGTAACACCGCGCAACATCATGCCGTCACTCGGCAACACGATACGGCACCGGAAGGAGTCGCCGCCACAGCGGATATGGATGGGTATACGGTACCGCGGAAGAGGCTGCGAGTAAGCATTAGTACCTAGAGACGGAGGCATTGCATCTGCGTTAAACGAACGAATGAACGAATCACGAATGTGGAAGGATATGATAGATGTGTTGTTATACATGCATTATTGGACTGGCGTTGGATTGCCTCATCGTTTTGTAGCATAGCTTTTGTACGAATATTATAACACAAAAACATGACGCGGGCAGCATTTGAGTTGAATCCCACCGTTGAAGTCTGACACGAATGACGCCGCGAGTCTTTCCAAATATCGTCCGCAAGCCCCCCTCTATGAACTGGATCCTTTCCAAATGTCCTTTTTGTGACCTGATAAGTCACAGTACCGATGATGAAATCCTATGTAACTTCCAGAATGAAGACAATGTGGAATTGGTTAGCGGTGCTGTTTTTCCCGCCCGAAGCACTTGTCCAAAATGTGAAAATGAATATGGGTATAAAGTAAAAGCAGTCGCTGTCTTCGCCTATAAGCAGATGAGATGCCGAGCCGAGCTGGGCATGTGTGAAAACGACTGATGACGCCCATATTGGCGTCTCTTAAATAACCTCACCCAGCCTGTTGGTGGGTGGTTGCGGCACTTGGAGGAGAGGGTGTCGTGGAGGCTCAGCGTTTGTATTTCATTGGTGAAAGGAAGCCTAAGCCTTTCAACGTCCCCACGCTCTCTGCTTTCTGCAGGGTCTTGTGCTCAGTGGCTAAATCTGGTATGAGTAAAAGCATCTTAGCTTGTTCAGTAAGAACGTCTGTTCTCAAGCAGCACCGACGCTTTGGAAAGCGCTCAGCGGTAGAATCCTCCACTTGGGTGGTGTCCAGTCGGGGGTTTGTTGCCGTAGAGTTTGAATAGCGACTTCAATCTGTTGGGCCATGCGGACATAGACCATGGTTGGCTCTATGTAGGATAGAGACTCTGGTGTTTCCTCTGCGCGAGGAACGAATATGAGCTCCTCAAGTCCCGGCATACGCGACTGAATGCGACGCAGCAACTCGACTGTGAGACTGGCGGCAGTCATGGAGCGATAGGTTGTGTCAACCCAAAATAGAGCATCGTTGATAGCAAGGCGGCGCACAAGAGCGAGTTCTTCAGGATCGCACATTGACATGCAGGTTTGAAACTGAGAGTCTGCGGCCATGTAACCATCGCGAGGTCCAAAGTAGAGAATATCGCGATCGGGATCGAGGAAGACCTGACCAGGACCACGAGCAAAACCAAAACCGAGTCCGTAGTACTTCAGAGCTTCACTGCGCGACTCGGCGCATGCGTGGAGGTTGGCGGGAATAATTGCTGAAGAGGTACATCCTGACCATGAGAAGGAGCTTGAGGAGCCGGACCATGAGGAACCGCATTGCATGGGCACGAGGCGCGCAGGAGGGAGGTTATAATTCCAGATCTTGACACGTAGTTCTGCGGGGAGTTGCTCGAAGTTGTGCTGAAAAGAAGAGTGTTAGAATCGGGCATCTAGGAAGAATGGGTTGGTTGGTGACTTACAAAGGTGCGAGACGTCGGTGATGGCGGGGCATACACTGTATGAGAAGACATGTTGCAAGAAACGTATGAGGATCGGAGTGCCAGATAATATTGTGGCTGTAGTCGCAAACCCCAGGCGACACGCGCGGCGATAATGCGCTGCGAAACCAACGTTCAAAAGACCGTCAATTGTCGTGGTAGAGAGTGGTAGATGTCGATGGTGATGAACTTTTGAGTTGGGCGTAAAGCAAGTAGATGAGTAGAGTTGAGTAGAATCAAATGACCTGTGGTTCGGTTAAAGATACACAAAATATTACAATGAATCCTTCTTTCTCTGTTCTGAATGTCGGAATAGGCTCGAAAAGACAAAGTAAACACTGAGGGGCAGGTGAAGGATAATAAATATAACAAACAATGGGAGAGAAGACAAGATGAATAAGTGAATGACGATAGAGGGACTGGGAGAGGGAGTGTCGTTCAATTTCCTATCACACGCCTATACCCCATCCATGCCTAAATCATTCGGTCCTCACTAGGTTAATAAAGGTCCAGTAGACAGACAGACCCATGCCTCTCTCTAGTCTCTCCTCCTACCGCAGGATCCATGTCCATGTCAAGTTGTTGATGCCCTTGTCATGTTCATACCCTTGACAGACCCAAACTTATTCATACCCAGGGACACATCGTTGATGATCCTTGTTAATCAACAATGAAAAAATGCCCCCAAGAGCGAAGCTTCCAATGTGATTTTCACTCATGTACCCGTCGGCAAAGGCTCAAGCCCAAGAGCATCCGTGGGTCATGGACCAATGGACCCAGCCCCCCAGCCACGGAAAAGATACCAAAGTCCGAAGATTCTTGGCTTGTGTGTAAGTTGCCGGGAGAGGAACCCCAGTTGCGTTCGACGCTTGTGCAAGAGACTTCGATTCCAACTCGACTTGAGCAGTCAGAAAGGAAGACAAGAAAAGGGATGAAGCGCACTTGACAGCCCGGAAACTGCAAAACGCACTCGCTCGTATTCCCGGAAACTCTTCTCCATATCCATACACCCCCTTCGGCAGCTTCCATTCCCCTCAGCCTGACCTGACAGATCACAGCAGGAGGACAGAACTTTCTGCCAGCCTGATGCGACCCCGAGAACAGCCCAGCCCAGGCACATCACGGACAGAACCGACTGCTCGGGTCCGGAGAGCCGGGGGTGCATTGAAGTGTAGTGTGGTGTAGGCTAACTGGCATTATTTACAGCCTAAGACGAAGCACAGGCTGCACAAGCGACATCACATCACATTCAACAGCAGCTCAAGTTAAGCCGTTCCAAGCCTAGGATCAGGCTCTTGGTAGTTACGTCTCTGATCTGATGGAACACGGATCATAGAGGCGCTGGTTGACTTCAGTCTTTTCTCAAAGTCGAGTGCTATGCCGCATTCAAGGCCGCCACAAATGGTGTTTGACTGATTGCTGCAACTCCAATGTTACCCCGTTCCCGTGTCTCGCATGAGCCGCACACCACAGAGAGGGAAAACAAAAGAGCCTGAGTAGAAACAGGCAATCTTGCTAGTGAAATGAGCCCAGGAATTTCGCCATCACGGAGGAAAATGGCCGGTGATAGATATCTCGAGACTCCGCAAGCGTTTATTCCCCTTTCAGACTGTGTTTCCTGTTCCTTTTGCGAAGGGACCAAGGCATGGAAACATGCGTAGACATCTCGACCAATAGGCGTTTGCAATCGACTCCGGAACATTTCCAGCTAGACTTTCCCCCAGGATTGGACTTGTCATTTCTTCTGTAGGGACATGGGTCATATCATGGGTCCCTGTCATGGCTTTTAGGAGCCCACGCCATGATGCGATTGGTCCGAATGTTGAGTAGTACCCTTATTGACTTGCGGATGGCCGTTGATCCGACGCATGACAAGGAGGGGCCACAAGCCTCAGAATCCATATCCAATACTAGGCTTTGACACTGACACTGACGATACCTGCTCCCTTTATCCAAGATATGAACAACCTCTCATGTCATATGATGCTACTTCGATCTAGACAAGACGTGTTTATTGTCTTGATCTCTTGTTTCCTCCTTCGAGGACGTTCGAAACACACTCCCCGAGGGGTGCCTTGATCCACAGATAACGCCTCTTTGTCTGTTCTCGTCCTCATCGCGCTCTCCGGCGTGGGACATCAAAGTGACGGTTGTGTAGTTTATATCCACATGCCGTTCATGGTTCCCGGTCGCAAGGGCCAAGGCTGTAATGTAGTCAATTGTTCGAGGTTCGTGATCCCAGGGAACTATAATAGCATAGCGCATCGTAGCGTAGTTTGGTTGACTCTAACTTAGCCATCGTTGAAACTTGAAAGTGCCAGACATTCGTTCCATCACTAGAAAGCGCTCTATGGTTTTGTACGCTGCTGAAGGGTCTTGCAGTAGCCTCAGCTCTCTGATGCATTGCATCTGTTGTTGTCGAGCTGTCATTTCTGTTCCAATCATGTCCCAGAAATGAGGTACGCTAGATAGCTGCAGGACATGAAGATTGCATTAGGTTCATAGTCCCAGCAGCAGATGTCATATTGCCGTCGGCATAACGACTTCTCATAGGATTCACGTAGTCCACCACCTCTTCCTGGGTACTCAGCTGCCTTGAGCCCAAATACGACAGCGGGGCTTTCGAAGAAAACCTACCATATCCAATCCTTTGGAAGGTGATTAACAACTGCATTAGATCTGCATCCTGCTGATGAGTATTTTAATATCATCAAGACAAGGGTCGGGATCTTTCAGTTGAGTCTTCGCAGTCCGCCAATGATATGTACACGTCGTACTCAAGAGGTAAAGGTTCTATGCCGGTCTCTGTCTCAGCTCTCCAGAATCCGAGATCTAAGTTTGTGAGGATGTCAGGATGTCAGGATGTCAAGGGTAGCGCATTTTGGATTACTGAACGTTAGGGATCATGTCAGACCCTTCCCCTGCATTGCCCACTCTGATTGACTCGTCTAAATAGCGGCTTGCATGGATACAAAGGACGGGCCCTTGTTGGTCCTGGCGTCCTAACCGCAACCGGCGAGAACGCTACTGTCGATCATCCGCGACGCCTCACAGCGCCAGAGAACATCTTGTTGACAGAGGGGTTTGACCCTTGAGGCTTGAGGGAGCTCCAAGCCTCCAAAGCCTTGAGCATCTTGGCGCATGCCAACGTCAACATCAGCCTTCGTGTCACGATATCAACATCATTCAGGACGATTCCCGTTCATCGTCTCTTCAATGCAACCATCGCGAAACCGCGATGATCATTGCATAGACATTCTGGAAGAGTATAGCCGTCTCTGGTTATGCTCTGGGCTGTCTGTGTCCTTGTGCTGTGCCGCAAGGATTCGTACGAAAAATGATGGTCAGGCCGCATCGATCTGCCCGGCAGTTCGAGTATGTTATGTAACTGTGAAGCAGTTCGATATTAAAACATCACCGGTCAGCCTCGATTGCGGAGCAAGAGTGGCAGGTGTGTATTAACTGGCAAAAGCAATCCAGCAAGTTTCATTTCCGACAAGTAGCGGACCGACCAGTTTAACGGTTTCCGAAGACTATGCTGTGCGTATGGAATCCCCTGCTGTAAAGGTTTGAGCGGTATCCGCAAGCTGAAAAGAAATGTTACATCGAAGACTTTGATTCATCTTGACTTTTCGGAGCGCGATGCCAAGTCTAGCCCGAATATTTTCGGGATCCACATCGGGGGGCGTTCGAAACTTGAAAGCTGTCAGAAGGTGTGGCGTGTGCTATGGCGTTTTTCTAGACTGGTCAGGTGATCAAGCATGTGACCGTGATTGGAGATCTTGACTCTCACTGCTTGATAGATGGATAAACTCAGTGACCACTGGTCGACCGTTCCTGCAGCCTTCTTCTCCTAGTTATCAACGTACATAACCGCTCACGCCAACGGTTTGACACGGACCCAAAATAGATCTTGGTGACAACCATCTCCCATCTCGGGGAATAATGCTTGTCTCTGATTGGCTCAATGTTTGTCTAAGCGCTCGAGGCAACACGCTCAACTCTTGTAGCTAGAGGTTCGGCCAATCCTAGCCCAGCATTCGATGTCAATCTCTCACAACACCAACCAGCGCGCCTATGCTGCAATTCTTGCATAGGCGCTTCCAACTTATCACCCTGATCGGCTTCATGTAATTGGTCTCTTCAGTGCTATTGTGATGGTGTTCGTCGCTTAAGGTTAACGGATCTTGTTAAGCTGTGATCAATCTCGTATATCTATGTTGCAAATCCCCATGATCTAATTCAACATCAATTCAAAGCTCTTTCGTATTTACGTTTGGTTCCTTTTCCTTTTCTTCTTTCTTATATTCTTTCCTATATTCTTTCCTTTTCTCTCCAGCCGGTCTTGGGGTTTGAATTTTCCGTTAGTCTTGTTCCTCGTGATCCCTTTCTGGTCAATATACTCGGTCTATATCTTCAGAATGGAATCCTCCACCAGAAACATGTCCATCGGTACCAAGACAGAGATCTCAGCGTCCAACTTCGAAGCAGATGTTGAGTCGGTTCGAACCGAACCCAGCTTTCGTATCTATCGCTTGATCGACAGCGCTAGACTGGGCCTCACAGTCCTCGGTCTCGCAGCGGCCTTGACAATCCTTGGTGTTTCGGCGGATGCCCTCGCTGTGTTCCATGCTACCTATGTCCCGGAAGATTGGTTACTTCAACTATGGCCTGCCAACTTCGATATGCGCCCTACCGTAGCTCTGGTAGTCGGTAGTGCCCTGGTTATTGGGGCCAATCTAGTTTCGTTGATCACCGGCAAGCTTCCGACTGTAAGGCGACCCCCAGTCTCTTCCTGTTATATTTGCTTTTTGGTTCTAAAACTAACGGTCATGATGCAAATAAGGCCCGCGGAAACGCTGCAGTCAAGGCAGCAATCACATTTGTGCCCCCTGCTATTGCCCTGGTCGCCGCCATCATCGCCATGTCCTTCTTCTACGGGGTGAATGCTTCTACCACCAACGATTCACTTCAGAGCTGGACATGTCGCTGGAAGGACGTGACCATGAACGTGCAGCCTCACTTCGGCACACTCTGCAAACAGAGCCGGGCCGGTGTAGCGCTCTCTGTCATGCTAGTTCCCGTCGAAGCTATAATTCTGGGGTTGGCGGCGTATCAGTTCACCCTGGAGAAACGCTTCGACTTGGGCGCTCGTGGACCAAGCCGTAAAGCGGGAAGCCCTGCTCTGTCTTGAAATTGATATCGAGATTGGGAGATTGGAGCCAATATGCGAGAGTCCCACGGCCTTGGGCCTGGGTTCAGATTATTGAGACATCACGTCTGATCGCCAGATACCAGTTGAGTTGAATCGATGGAATTGTCAAAGGATCGGAATTAGTTGTAGGGTGTCATAATCAGCCCAGGGGGAGGGGGGCTGAGACTATTGGAACCCATCAAACATGGGTTCATTATTCATAGTCTCTTCTGTTTTTCTTCTGAGGATTTGGAACTGGAGCTGGAGCTGAAAACAAAGCTCGATGTGGTTTCGATTGCGATAGGTCATATTTGGAATATTAATCAACCCTCTTTTCTCTTTTCTTTTTACGCGCCGAGACAAATGCCAGGACCAGAACCAACAGCTCGGCCATGCCTAGCGCGCGCATAGTCTGTGAACCAGTCCAAGTCAGTCCAGATCTGGTAGATGATTTTGTAGACATTCCGACAGTTTGGAAGCCCCTGATGCCTCGCAGCAATTAGCAGAAACTCTAACCTATGGTGTTCCGTCTCCTCGGTGCTGTCAAAGGCGATAAGATGTAGGGGCAGTTGTTTGCATTACAATGGGGTATAACACATTGTCCAGAGTGGCTGCAGCCCATTATTAGGAACAATACGAGTAATGTTCATCAGTCGCAAGACAAACGAAAACGTACGGTCCTAGGCTTCGTGAGGACCACCTATCTCCGGGGTAGCCGAGCACCCGAATGCTACAGTAACATGAGAAATTCTTTCACACAATTGATCACCATTATCCGTACCCGCAACACTCGACAAGGTCTAGAAGACATGAATCGAAGGATGAAGTAACAAGTATTGACAGGCCATTTCTCGTCACGAGACATCCCAGTCAGGCGCTGGTTTCATCAGCATTATCCCCAGAAGGTAAGGCCGCAATGCATCCTCGCTAACAAAGGATCCATTTACGCCTTGACTGTGTTATCAGTCCCCGATCGTGAACGTTCTATACCGGGCGGAATCGAGCTTTATGCCCACCGGACCTCGCCTGAGCCAAGAGGAAGTGTGAGTTACAGTCAACTGTCATTGTTGAACCCACAACTGTGTGTATAGTGATTGCGTGGCACGGGTTTCACTTATAGAAGAACAGAGTGGGAAACGGAGGGAAACCTGCAGTCCTTGTAACACCAGCTACGGCACAAAGACGCCTCGCTTTATTGTGTACTGTATTCAACCTCGATTTTGTCTTCTTCACATTGAATTACTATAGAGTGGTCTCTATGTTCCCCTGCCGTAAGCCTCCTGCGTATTTGATTACGGAACGTGATACAAATTGTGCTCATAATTATATACGCCTGTTTCTTTGGCTTGATATTTGAGTTGTTTTGATACAAACGGCACATTATCGCAAAGTATGGGCGCACAAAGATCCCACATGTAACAAATAACCAAGCCATCTCAGAGCAGTCAATGGCTTTCATGCGCTCGTAACTTTCCTTTTACATCGTCGTGATCCCGACTCTGCAAGCTTCTGTTGTCTTCATGCATCTATCACCGGCAATGGCTTTACCTTATATTCCAAGTCGCACCTCTACGAAGCCTCCGAATCCAAAACCAAGGCAAAAACAAGAAACTCCTGCCTCAGCTCCAGCTCCAACTCCAAGATTACTCCTGGGAGAGCGAAGAGTCAAGCCTCGCCTTAGCAAGCCAAGTCTCGATCCTGTTCTGGAGAGCGATCAACGACTCTCAAGTGATGTAGAGCAGATTGTCACTGTGGACGCTGCCAGAGTGACGAGAAAGCAGTCATTACCGATACTCACCAGAAAACGAAGTGACTTCTTCGAGGAAGCATTTGGATCCAAGCATGCGCAAGACCCCGGTGATCGAATACGGAATGAGTCTCCTGTGCTAGTAGAAATCAAGACCAACGTCATTGCAAGTTGGCGCGCTGCATGAGACCAGAGAATATGTCACTAACATTCAGTTATGTACCTAGATTGAAGATGAATTCACCTTCATCACTGGACTATCCGAGTACCTCTCTTTGCGATATAATCGCCCGGCGTCTTCTATCGTAATGACAGTCCAACATGGGATCTGTATTCAGTTTGGTGGCGGTTCTGATCCTTGCTACACCATGACAATCGAGGCTCTCGCTCGAGACGTTCAGACGACGACAAACAAACGCAACATTGCTCTCTTTCAGAGACACATGAAGCAGGCTCTGAGAATTCCTCCATCTAAGGGGTTCTTGAGATTCATTCCCCTCGCCGAAGACTGCGCTGGGTGGAAAGGTAACACACTTGCTGGGCATATTACAGAGGTAATAGAAGAGGCACAAGCGATGACGGAGCGTCGAGGTTCGCTCAGAGCTCCGAGGAGAAGATCTAGTAAGGTGAGTCTCTTATATCGCTATGTTGAAGAAGCTGGTTTTGATCAACATGAGTAGGCATTTCGAGGAATAAGGAGTAAGATGATTGCATCAGAGAGCGCATCTGCATTAAATCCTAACACATCGAATGGAATATTGTCTAATGACCCAGAAACTCTTGGAAAGGCTGCGAAAAGCGAGGCCGAGACCGAGAAAGACAACACAAAGACGATAAAGCGAAGGAGGAGTTTCATTCATGCCCTGTTTCCTAGGTCAGCGAGCCGACTAGCGGAAAGAGAGGCGGAATGAGAGAAAATGAATGCAGAAATTCCTATCAGCTAGGTAGCCACCAGCAGTGATCAGAGGGTTGAAATATCGATAGAACTCTTTTGTTGGCGAGGAATGATATGAACGGAATTGTTAAGTCATATAACGCTTCGGTACAGGGTAACCTGCTGCAGATTGCATGCGCCACAGGTAACATGAAGATTTCAAGAAAATATTGGAAGAACAGGGCCCTCTCCCAGCCAAGGATTGAAGCTAGGTGCTAGTACCTAGTGATGAGATAATATATAACGATGTTACCACTTATCATATCTGAACCTGGCTTAGATTACGTGAACTCACATATGAGTCTATAAGGATACATCCAGGCCTGATAGAAAACCACCTGAGGTCGTTTACAGGAGGTAGGTACCTTCGTTTAGTGGGTTGCGGGGAGTTTCAGCGCTATCAGCTGCTGCCTGAGCAGTCATAGCTCCAACCACCTCCAAATGACAATCTCAAGACCATACACATACAACACCTGGAGACGCATCAATCATCCATCACCTATAGAACGTTCATGCCCATATTTCTCGTCATAATCGGCTATTGTCCTCCATCGCATCGTATACACACCTACCAATCAAGCACCGGAGCAATCAACCTTTCCCGTCAATACGCTCACTGATCAATCACTGAGCATAGCAATTGACTTTCTCAGCCTCACAGCCTTGCTCTCAGACCTACATTTGGACCAACCCAGCCTCGGAGAGTTGACCACTAGGACGGGAGATATCGTGTAGCACAGGATAGCTAGACCTGGGCTCTCTAAGCACAATGGAGGTAAGATACTAGTGCTTGTTGCGCCTGATTTCCCATGCTTTCTTTTTCTCTCTTGTCTCGACGCTTAAGTGTGCGCTTGACCCTTCGTGTGACCGATGCAACACGATACAACAAAGCACAGCACGGCACAGCACAGCGCAACAATGCTGTCACCTCTAAGGGTCACTCCCATCCTGTCAGCTCCCGCAATATGTCACCAAGCCCTGGCCTGCATCGAGGTAAAGATTGGTACTCAGTAGTGGCGCTGGCCACAAAATTACAGCATCAGGGTCCTGGCAGCACTCTGGATGCCCTGATTCGACGGACATTCGCTTGGCTGGGCCGCTGCTGTGTAGAGGAGTCTGTATCACCTCAAGTGAGAGGATATGCGTCTCTTATACAACGCGAGGCGTGGTGAGGCGAGGCTCTATACGAGCCACGCTGGCCTGCAAGTATGAGTCCGAGTTGGGGTTTAAAGACCGCTGAAGCCTCATCACGTCCAATCCCGGCCAGCTGGAGCCTTCTACGCCTTCAGTTCGCCTGATAATGCAATAGATGGGATCCTTTTGCTCCGATTCATCAGGTGCTGCCAGTTGGCGGGTATTTCATGTCCCTGTCCGTCAGTGCCCATTGTATCAACCACTGATAGCTCGCCATCTTGGTTCGACACAAAGAAAGAGGACAATAAAAGGAGAAGAATCCTCAAGATAGTTTTGCTGGATATCAAGTGACATGAGCAAACCCGATATTCACTTTCACTCTAACCCAAGAACCCATAACCCAATACCCTCAACACCAAACTACCCCCTCTCCATTGCCATAGCACAAGCCCCAAAATGTCACTCAGTCCTCCAATTTACAATCTTGCGCGCTCCTTTGACGAGGCAGATGTATCATCTGCCAGCGGAACAAGTCCAGCCCAGCTAAATCTTCAACGTCTTTTCGAACAGTCAATTAGCGGAGCTTCGGCATCTAAAAAGGATGCACAAAAACCTGCCGCCCCCGGACCCAATTCTGTTGGCGCAGCTCCTAAGGGGAAGCCGCGCTTATTACTCATGGGTCAACGAAGGTATGATATACGTGGGAGAAAAGAGCAGACATCAGCTAACAGTATGTCACAGGAGCGGAAAGTCATCCATCTCGAGTGTAGTCTTCCACAAGCTGCCCCCGAACGAGACTCTATTCCTTGAATCAACGGCTAGAATTCAAAAGGACTCCATGGCGTTAGTGCTAGCAATACTCTGACCGTGATGACCATAAACTCATAATTGCATAGGTCATTCATGGATTTCCAAGTCTGGGACTTCCCAGGCCAGATCGACGTCTTTGAGAACCCAGGATTCGATATTGAGGCCATCTTCAGCGAGATTGGAGCCCTCATCTGGGTCATCGACGCCCAGGATGACTACCTCGAAGCCGTCATGCGCCTCAATACCACGATCCTTTTTCTTCAGCGAACATACCCCAACATCAATATTGAGGTCTTCATCCACAAGGTTGACGGCCTCTCAGATGACTACAAGCTCGATATTCAGCGCGACATCACCATCCGTATCCAAGATGAGTTGTCAGACCACGGCTTTGAGAACGCCCCCGTCACCTTCCACCTAACCTCCATTTACAACCATTCTATTTTCGAGGCTTTCAGCAAGGTTATCCAAAAGCTCATTCCTCGCCTTGGAACGCTGGAATCCATGCTTACCAACCTCTGCCGCACGTGCCGTTTCGAAAAGGCATACCTCTTTGATGTGCTTACAAAGATCTATATCGCCACTGACAGCGCAACTGCCGATATGGCGAGCTACGAGATCTGCAGTGATTACATCGATGTCATCATTGATATAACTGAGGTTTATGGTACGTGGCAGCGCAGTGATGAAGGGCGGCGTCGGCTGGAGGGTGAACCGTGGAGCGCGCCTATCGATAAACAGATTGGCTGCAACACTGCAGAAAGCTGTCTTGTCCTGCACGACGGAAACAAGCCCATCATGCTGCGTGAGGTGGATCGTTACTTGGCCCTTGTTGCTATTATGAAGGAGGACTCGTACGATAGCATGCCCCTGGTTAACATGAATGTCGAGGCCGTTGTTGAGGGATTGACCGAATTCTTCAACATCACTAAGCCCCGGCAGCAGTAACTCGACTGCCATGACTGAAAGGGGGAGGGACTTCATATTTCTGTTCTACCTTGTAAATTATTTAGGCTAGCGTCCTTTTCAACACCTGTTTTTGAGAGTCCATGACGCCGGGTTCGGATTTCCTTCGAAGTACCCCCATTTCTGTGTTGATATTCATCGAAGTGAACCACATGACAGCCTGAGCTACGGAAAAGTAAATGTTTTGATAGTGGTGCGATTACTCTCAAGAACGCAGACTCTCGGGGGCATGTCGCCCCTGACATTATTCCTGTCGTTAACCTCCATACGCAATGGTCTAAACACTGACTTCTCAGGAAAAGAGTAGGCCGTGAATCCATCAACTGATACGCAGGGCGTCTCAGTAAGCCTGTTGGGATCGTAGTCGGCATAGGTAAGCCTTTCTGTTAGGATAGGTACGCAGACAACTTGCGGCCCGTTATCTTTTTGCAACATTAGTATCATACTTGTTGTATAAAGAAACTTTCCATTAGCTCACCTTGACTGTTACTTAGTATGACAAGTGTTTCATCGTTGAGAAACTTCAAGTCAATCAATGTACGTGGGCCAAGATCGATACGACAACTTATTGGTGGCCTGTTGGTACTAATGCCATTGATAATATTGATGCCGACGGAGAATATTTGAACTTCAATCTGTTAGCAAGGATAGTTCTTCAAACCATATAACAGGGCTCGCCTCACCTTCGCTTTTAGCCTCTTTAGATGCTAAAGCAGTCACCACATTTGTTTCCTAATTCGATGTCAGTAAATAGATGAGTCGCACAAAGAAGTTCAAGCACCTTGTTCTTTGATTTGCTCATCCTCATATCTCTATGTGACACCACACGACCAGCCGAGAGTCTAATTGGGTTTCCAAGTCGAACGCTACGCCTCTTTGCCTCTGCAATACCCTTGAATGTACGATTCGCCCAGTTCGTGGCATATGAAACAAGAAATTCGACACGTGGGAGAGCTTTCATGCTGGGCTGGCCGTTCTCCCACTTTACCAACGCCTGATCAAGGACATGAAGCAGAGTCGGACCACCTTCTATATGCGCCCAGTCTGCTTCATAGTCTTCTCTGGTCATTTCGTCAAAGAATAGCCGAAGCGGGCTATCGATGAGATAATTCTCAATATAACTCAGAACCTTTGCAATGTCCATGGTTGCCTCCTTTTCCGTGAGTTCCTCGCTCGCGGAGCTAGAAGAGGCAAGCCGGTCGATTTGGAAGCGAAGCCATGTTGAGAAAGCGGTGAAGCTATCAAGTTCGTCCATCACGTTGATCAATACTTTGTGACCGATGAGCTGGAGACATTGAACAATATCCATCAAGCGACTAGTTTGCTGGAGAGTGAAGCCGATGTCATCTCGGGTGTCATGAAATTGAGCCAAGCCTCGTAGCCTGCTTAGGATGATTGCACAGCGGTCAAGAGCTGGGAGGAAGTTCTCATGGACTAAATTTCTGAGGCCCTCCAAGCCGGAGACTACTGCTTTATCCCATCGTTTATGGCCCTGCAAAGTTTAGCCAATATCACAAGGAACCTGGATTCCCAAGTCACTTACTCGTTCTGCCAGACTTTCAACCAACCACTCGCGTATAGGCTCGTAGGCGTGACCTGTCACTGCCAAATGGTAAAGGGCAGGTACAATACTTCGTGGCCCAGTCTCGAGATTTTCGAGATCGCCTTCAATACTTCGCAGAAATCTTGTGGGAAGCTCGCGCGTGTTTCGCCATTCGACCTGCATATGAAGTTGTGCTTGCTTCAGATATCTCAATAGCTTTTGAAGAGTGGTTAACTTGGAGGCGAGGAGAGAAAGGTTGATAGGGTGGGATGAGATGAAGGGAAGGTCGATAGGCACCAAGTGCACTTCTTCTGGCTCCTCTGATTTGTCTGCAACTAGTAAAGCCTGGGTTGATACCTGTGGGTGCGATGCATGAAGAATAAGCTGTGAGCTTGATGATGGATTAATCTGGGGGCATTGAAAGCTGCCAATGATGAACGAATCGTATATGCTCAGCTGAAGCTGACCATCGCTGGTCCCAATAATCATAACGCTGACTTGATCATACTCCTCTGGCTTCGGGGGCTGGAAGAGGAAGTCTATACCAGTTCTCAACGTGAAAACCAAAGCATCTTCTCTGTTAAGGGATTATTAGTATGTTGGGTTCGACCGTGGAAGCTGAGGACATACCCTGAGCCGGCACTACTGCTGGGAAGAGGGCTGATCTTGGGTAATGCTGTGTCAACCTCGAGGAAAGTCAGTTCACGAGGAAGATCCAACGGAAGACCATCTCCATTCCGCGTTGAATCTTTACCGAGGCCATCCTTCAGAGCTTGGGATACGGCACTGGAGCTCTTCCCGGCAATACTGCTACTCGCCCATCCAATGTGCGTGATCTTGTTCCCTGGAGATTCGCCAACTTTGATATGGTGAGCTGCCTTGTTGTTCTCGAGCCCCATCAATCGCACAAAGCCGTCACTCCATCCGACTGCAAGGAATTGGCCTACGACGATTGAATGAGTAGGTTTCTCGATCATGAAATATTTATTTACTGACCATCCGACCTCCAAGTAACTGCCTGCGCGTCTGGTGCTTTTTGGCCCGGCGCACCAACTTGGTGGATCTTGGAAACAACCTGACCAGGAGGTCTGTACACAAGTATGTTCTTGTCCACTGGGTCCCAAGTTGCTGAGAGATCTAGAGTTGGGCAGCTCACAGGGTAGCCACCAGGTGCCCTGTCTTGATACTCAGTCGCGCTGAAGGGCGCAAGTTGGTTTCGCTGCGCCATGTTTATCTGTGGCGTTGACACAGCCCATGAGAGTATCTTCAGAGAACTTCTAACATCCCTATGAGCTGCAAACTATCACTTTTTCGTGTTGCTTGGAGAGTGCAATGTTGTATGCAAGTTGTGACCAAGAAACAACAAGCCCACAGGGAGGAGTTAGTATGGACCGTGCATCCGTGAGTAACTCGCACTATACAACTCAGACACGATATTGCTCGTGGGAATTGAAGAACAGTCAGATCAGACGAGAGTGAAATGCATACTCATTAAATATGCAGAGGCGAAAAAAAAAAAGATCAGGGATGTGATAACAAGGCTGATGAATATAAATACCTCGATTCTGCATTTCAACTCCCCAACAACATTCACTATTGCGTGCATAATAATTAGCTGTATGGAAGCTGATTTTGTGTCAATAATGATGAACAACGGCCACTTATTAACAAAATGACCAAAACACGAAACATCAATTGTCGTTGCGCCATTAGGTTCTAAACCGCCAAGACACTCCTACTAATGCCTATCTCCAGCTCTACTCAAATACATATCCCTATCCTTTTATAGAGTAAATTCGCCCAGAAGCTGTTCCTAAATCGAAAGACTTTTGGGTTCCGTCTATTCTACCAAGAAGTTGTCAGCGTGAGACTTGATCTCCTTGGAAAATGTCACTTCCTCGTCTTCTTCCAAAAGAGACGCGGAGTGAACCTGCGAAATGGTTAACACAATACTTAAGTATGCAAGCCGGGATCGGGACTTACGTCAACGTCAATGTATGGTGTGCTCTTGTTGAAGCGAACCGTCATAGGGAAGAAATCATTCTCATCACCGGACTCGGCCTCGAACTCGAATGAGCCATTGGGGTTCTCCTCATCCACGTTGCCAATTGTCCACTCGAGAGCGTCGCCAGAAACATCATACGTAGCATCGAAGCTTGAAACAACAGGCTCGCTACCTGCATAGGGAATAACGACACTAACATCGTTCAGGGCATCGCTACCGGTCAATTCGTACTCGACCGTTATGTTGTACTTGGCGCCCTCCTTGTTGATCCAGACAGTAAAGGTAATTGGGCATGCGCTGGCATCATCAACCTTGGGAGAAGCCCTCCATCGCAGAACACCAACAGCGTTGTTGACCGGGAAGCCACGTGCAGTGTTGCTCATCTGGATAATCTTGGAACCGTTGAACAGATTTCGGTCAACGTTGGGGTGTGTACGAAACTGTACGCCATGCGACGCAACAGCTTGGAGGCCGAGCTTGATCTTTGTCAGGCTAGGGTCTGAGATGCGGAGAACAAGATCGCCACTGATAGCTAGGGAGTTGACAGCACCCTCGCGAGACAACTTGGCCGAGATAGTCTCTGAAATAGTGACGTGGATAGCATCGCGATCAAGGGTTGACGAGACGCGAGGTTCGGCGGCTTCGGCATGCTGGGCGGGTGCGGGGGTAACAAGAGGTGAATCGTCGATTTCGCCTCCCATGTCACCTCGTACTCGCTCGAACATGTCAGTTGTCTTGGACTTCTTACCCAATTGCATACCCTTGGCCTTAGGAGCCAACGGTCTTGAAGGTGTTAGCCAATTGCATTCTGGACCACTGTAAGTGCCACTTACTTGCTGAAGGACTTGTTCTTCTCAGCCTCGTATGAGTCGTAGGTGCTGGTATTGGATTGCGAAGGGGGGTTGTATGAGGGATAGGAAGGACTTCTGGGCATACCACCACTGCTGCCCATTCCGCCCATGCCACCCATAGCTCCGCGACCACTGCGAGCAGCATCCTTGCGCTGCATCTCGAGCTGTTTCGCCTTTCGTTTTCGCTCCTCGGTGGCTTCCAACTCTTTGTTCTATGCAGGTATAAGTAAACGTCTGTGAAGTAGACCCCAGTGGAGCTTCTTACTCTTGCGATAATCTCTTGGATGCGCTCCTCATGACTCTCCATGTCCAGGAAGGTCTTGATTTGGCTAATGGTCAAGTTCTCACGGTAGCCGAGGGTGACAAGCTCGTCAAAAGCACTGAGCAGTTCGTAGGCATTCTTGAGGATTTCGCGCTCGTCGAGGCTCTTGCATGTGCTGGTAACTACCTGGGCAAACAGGTGCAGGGAGTCGATGTCCTGGAGAATGTTGGACTGTCGATTGGTGATGAGAACCATGTAGAGCTCGTCGAGGGGCTGGTAAACGAATCGGACGTTGTCTTGCTCGACGGTCGTGTGCTGCGTACCGCTATCGGCAAGTTTGGGGAACGAGGCGAGGAGGGCTTCTATGCGCGATCGTGGCATCTCTCGGAACTGTCTCGAGAGGACAGCTTTCCCTCCACGGGTGCAAATCGAAGCCGCAAGGACGACCTAGGGAGCATGAGTACATGATGTAAGCAGGGGTGATAGTGGTAGGTGTTGCGCACCATCTTGGCGGAGTAATTCGAGCAGATGTTTGTTGATTGCGATGAGAGTTGCAAGTTGTTGAATGCTCGTCCCCTGGATGTTAGATAGAGCGGGCCAATATTCAAGTCGGTGGGAGGTGCAGGAGCCTGAAGAGGTACGTACCCCTCTTGCGGCCACCTGGAAGCCAGGAGCCCAGGAGCTGCTATGAAGTGGAAGGGAAAGAACAGCACGGCCCAGCAGCCAGCTACCCCACGCTAGCTCTTTTTAGGTAAGCGTCAGCCTCTTACCTCCCTGACACTCACCTTACCTCAGCCTTTCTGGGTCCCGCTGCTTAATCACCAACGAAATTCATTCTTAGAGAGCTTGCCTGCCTAGTCCATATACTCTCCTCAGCTTCAACCTTCTACCATAAGAAAGCTACCTTTTTTACGTTTTTCTTTCACGGACCAACCAAAGTAAAAACATCAGCACTATAAGAACGGCGCGCGTGGGCGTCCTTCGTTTATATCAAACACAATCTCACCAACCTGGATCAAATGTCGCATACCAGCCTAAATTACATTTCTAGCCAAGCTTGGTCTTTGTCTCTTTGATTCAAACCATCGCGTCTACAAATTCATCCCGACGCGCGCAAACTGCCGCCCTTGGGCACGCATATTTCCCCTACTACTTTAATTCTATCTGCTTTCAACGCGTTGAGCACTCGATTCCTCATCATAGCAAATCTCTTCCACTCAATTTCGATCTGAAGCACCAGCTCTGAAGGATCCAAACCAAATCCTAAGACATGACGGAGATCGAAATGGACATTGATATGGCCAAGCCAGTCTTGGACGGTAAAATTGAGGACGATTTCATCGACTTCGATACCGACATGGTTGATTCTAATCATGACCTGCAAAAGAACGATGACAACTTGGAGAACATGGATAGAGAAATGCAAGAAGATGAGGACGCTGTGAATCATGAAGCCTACGAGACGAACGGTATCACGGGCGAGGATGTGGACTTCGACCTACACGATGTCGAGGATACAGCAAACAGTCCTGAACATGTGGATTATGAAGTGACCGAGGCTCCTGAGCTTGGGACTCAGCGATCGATACAAACAGCTCAGCCACCCGACGAAGACGCGCCAGAAAACGAAGAGAACGTAGAAATTTTGGATGAAATAATCGTTCATGGCGATGCGGTGTCTGACGATCACGAATCTGCACACGAGATTGATTACGAATTTGAGGATAATGCAGAACCAGAAGACTCACATCAAGATGAGAAAACAGCTGCCGCAAGCCGTGCAACAAGATCTGAGTCAAATGGAACAGCCGGTGCTGCTGAAGAGCAAGATGACCACGAACCTGAGAATGATGCTACTGCAACCGGACAAGAGTTATCCGATCACACCGGAGACGAGAATAACATATCAAGCCACAATGACCAAAATGAGCCTCGCGATCCAAAGGAAGAAGAAGCAGAGCCCGATGATGAGGTTGCGACTGGTGAAGCCGAAGCCGAGGATGTGAAGGCAGATGAGTATAATGTTGAGAATACCCACGCATCCGATGACAACGACGAAATACACGATGGAGAAGATGCGAATAGTCATGAAGAAACCACTACCTTGGCATCAGGGCAAAATGATGAAACAACCGAAGCTGTCGAGGAAGCTGAAGATCACGATTGTGACGTGGGCGAACATGTCGCAGATGCATATGACGAACACGCAACCACTGATACGGATCATGTGGATCACTCAGCTACTGGAGAAGATTCGAATGGGAAGACAGATGAGGGCTTTCCTGCTATAACGGTACAGTATAAAGGAGACGAATTTCCTATGTTCTCCACCACCACCAATGGTTTCTTTGCCAATACTTCGGTTCTCGATGAGCCACTTGAGAAGTTGATTGCTGGTCTTCGGAGTGAGCTTGAAAATGAGATTGCCGAGGATGATGACTTGGTACTCCAGGTTGATGAGCTTGGCCTCGAACTTGTTGAGGTAAGGAAAGGCTCTGGCTTTTATCCAGAATGCGCTAACATTTTGAAACAGACAACCCAAGGCGAGACCATGTCGAACGTTACACTCCGTCAAATTCTTGAAATTTTCGACCTTCTTGTCAAGAACCAGGACCCAGATGGCTCACGCCCACTGTATGCCTATCTTTTTACCAAACCCAACGCAGAAAAGCGCTTCGAGTATCTCGTCGAGAGTGCCACGGCGGGGAAGGGGCTTGATGAAGTTATCCATCTCTTCGAGACTCCCATGACTGCTGGAACTAGCATGCTGGAAACAGCTGCAACTATCGATGGTGTTCACGAGGAACTGGACGAGTTCGACAGCCCAATTGATGATGAACATCACAGCGAGATAGATGAAGCAGAAAATGAGGATGAATATCTGGAAGGCGAACATGCGAACCCCGATGCCACTGGTTCTGAGGGCCAAGAGTTTAAAGACCAGGAAGTCGATGACCATGAAGTCAACAGCCAGCAGGCCAATAACCAGGATGGCCATTATGAAGATGATCAAGACAATATCAACGTTGCAACCGACACTCAGATCGAGATATCAGTCAATGCTTCTGCCGCTGATTTGGAGGATCCAGAGACCGCTATTGACAGCCTCACTGCTGCTGATGAGGATGGTCTTGAGCAAAATGGTAAAGCAACCTCATTATTTTCCACTTTCCTTTGTTGCTATTATCCCGACTTCTGCCTCTGTGCCCCCTGTGTGTCGGAGTATGTCGAAAACCACAACAAAGATGAAGCAGAATTCCGGAAAACTGTCAAGTGCAATTACGGAACTATGCAAATTCTTTCACCCAAAGTACAATATCTCCGTCCCCATCAATCCAAACATCACCGCTCCCTGTCTGATTTCAGCACAACGTATTCTTTCAATAATACTGACGAATTTACTCCAGCACGAGCTGACAGCGAGATTGACCCATTTGCCAATCTCGAGTTAGACGAGGAAGCCGAGTTCAACGGAGATGTCGCTCTCGGAGAGAATACAGAGACCCAAGATGAGGTCAATGTTGATGCCGAGCCAGAACCACTCCATGCACAAACTAATGACACGAGCACTACAACCACTCTTCAAGAGGAGGAGGAAGCGTCCTCTTTCAACGTTGACCTTGGAGTGGCCTCTGCAGCAGTAGAGACGGCCGAGAAAAGCAAGACTGATGATGACGACCTGGACGAAATCGACTGGAGAGATGAGCATGAACCAGAAGACCAAGTACCAAGCACTCCTTCGGCTGCTGGTAAACGAGCCCGTGGTGATGACGATGATGTAGATGCGGAAGATGAGCAAGGTGCGATAAAAAAGACCCTCAGCTAAGTTGCAATGGTGACTAACGTTATGCAGATGCCAAGCGCCGTCGTCCCTGAATGATTTCGCCTCCTAACTAACCGCAACATTCTCCAATATCGACAAACAACCCCCCCTCTTCAATAACTAAAATTCAACAGCTGCCGGTAATATGATGCACAGTGGCTATCTGAACTCGACAGTCAGGTCCTTGACCTTTGTCATTGTTCTCAACGCTATTGTCGCAGAAGTTTTCCTGGTGGTAAGAATGCCCCATGTTTTGAACGACACAATATGGGTCACAGAAACCCATACCAGCGGATTCTGGGTAGGTAAGAAATGAATCCACATCTACTAATTCTATAGGGCAAAGAAAGATCTTATGCATTTCTGCATTTTATGAGGTCGAGCTTAATTGCGGCCATTGACAACATGGTCGTTTGTTTTGTTTTGTTTCATACTCGATTGTTGATGACGCAAGTGTCGATACCCTTTCCCCTTTCAAATTAATAATATAAGAACAAAATGCACGATTCTGGTCGGTAAGAGAACAGGTGGATTAGTTCTGGTTCTGTATGATATGGTTCGTGGGATGGAATGAGGCGTTGGCGGCTGGACCGGAGGGAAAACTCAAAGCTGTGAACGGTGCTTGGAGTTGAAGTTATAGTGAAGCGTGGGAGATAGTTGAGACGGACAGCATTTCTGATGTGGATCTATACTCTACCTACGCTTTAGTCGGGGGTTACTTATAGCAAACAATCTGAGCCTTCTACTGGGTTAGTTGGCCATTGAGGGCGTTTGGTGTAGGGCCCTGGGCAGTCTTTAGCTGATTCGCTTGATGAGAACACTATCTTGAGATCTGGTCGCTAAGATTCTATAAATAACGTATCTGGATTATCATGATAATCATGGCGAAGGGGATTGGCCAGGTAGTTATCACCAAACAGAAACAAAAGATCGAAACAGTTTAATGATGAGCATTGATCACTTAACTTGTTTCCAGCGCCGGGTCACCCGTAGCATTAAAGGGCGTCATGGATCCCTGTTTAAAGGTGTCGGCTACGTTAAGGGGTTGATTAAGTTGAGCGCTAAGAGTGTCGATCAGGAACAAGATGAAGAGTAGGGTTGGCGTGTTGATAATAGCCCACAATATCAGACCAATTTGCATTTTGGGATTGGATTCATTCAATTATTGCGATACTCTATCCTCCTAGACAATATCTTTGTTGTAGTTTCTCGCAACTGCTTCAGAGAGGATAACTTATCGATCGTGGCTCAGACACCAAAAACTATTAAATGTGGCGCACGGGAGGCGCTGTTGAGAAGTTCTCGATCTTTGTTACAACGGAGCGAGCGAGGCACTACCGAATTGCGGATGCTAAAAAAAACATTTTCCCCAAAAAATCAAGGACTGTTTGGAGCTTGAGATGCGGGCTGCTGACGTGGACACGAGGACAGGTTGCGGGACAAGGACGAACTTGATGGGCTGGAAATGGAGACGAGTCCAGGGGTTAAAGCCGAAAGATGGCGAGTGAGAAGCAGATGATGAGAAGCAAGGGGCTTGTCGTCCGTCCCCCTTGAATCAAGCAGCCAGAAGCGCTAGTAATGGAAGTGAATTGAGTGTACAGGGCAGGGAGTAAAAGTCAGCGAGCATCACCAGAGTCGTTTATCTGCTACTTGTTTGTTCTTTGATATGGTAGAAACTTATACACTATAGATGCATAAGAAATCTGGATTGTCCTTTCCAAAGTAACTGTCAAGAGCTACAATATTCGGGGGAACTAATCAATACGGCAATCCTACTGATATAACTATTTGGTTGTTTGAAGTGACTGTGATATGGGGAATCTCCTGCAGCAAGTGTCTGTTGCAGCTGATAACTGCCATGTCCAACGTACTTGTGTGAGTGTCAACATTAGTTCAGGGGTGAGAACCACTCGCACCCATCGATCGTATCGTGTTGTGCTGTGGTTGTGTCGTATCGTGCCGTCTAAGCCTCGGCTTTAGCATCTGAGGACAATACAATAATTAGTTGTATGTAGTATCCGTACTTTACAGTCAGCGGAAGTTAGGCAACCTAATGCAATTGCTGTGTTTCGACGCTCGGGTCTGTGCCGAGTTTCCCTTAAGTTGCCGTATCTCAGTGGTTTGTTTTATCTTTACGGGCTGCTAGTCACTAGTTTCTCGGAGACTCTTAGATAAAATAACTGGATCGTGGAATGAAGTGTCGTCAGATGCAAGAAAGAAAAAAAGAAAAGTCCAGGTACTCAGGCACTTGACCTCAGGATCCCCACCTCTTTTTTGAGTCCTGAGGGCCCTGAAGTGTTAGTGAGTCTAAGTTGTAACGCCAGGGACATGGACCTGACGCCAGGGGGTAGTGGATGGATCCATCGTCCTCTGTTGGCGCCCTCTTTTGAAACCTCTTGAACTTTGCTGTGCCTGATTCTGGTGGCGGTACTTGTCAGCACACTATAATTCCACCTCTACCCAGGTACCTCAGCCTTTTCTGCTTCTCCACTGCTGGTTTTGTCCAAGCCTCCCGTAGCCTGTAGCTAGCAGGCCCCTGTCTGGTCTCGTCGGGTCTGATCTGGCCTCCCCAAACTTTGTCTCTGTCTCTCCCACACGAACGTACTGTACTGTACTGTATCTCATCCCGTCCGCACTGCTGCTGCAGCCTCTCCATTTTTACTTACAATCCAGCCAAGCTGTCCCTTCTCCCTATCATCCAACCCCCCCTCCCTGCCTTTTGCGAATACCGTCGTTGCGCATCACGAGTCTCACGCTTGTCAAGATACGAAGGCAATAACGGATTCGACAATAATTGGACCATACGATACCCTAAAACCGACCTTGCTCCGTCGCAAATCGCTTGCTTACAGCAACAGCAGCACGCCCAGTCCCCCCTCCATCTGCATCCAACACCAAGACTCTGCAGTCGTCCACGCGGCCAGAACTCCAATCTCGATTTAACTCTCCCAACGAAGAGTTTATAGCGATATTTTGATGTGTCTGCGATAAAGTAGAGCTCGATTCATCAGCAACTCACTCGTTTCAACACTCGTTGTTGCTATACGGCTTCTCTCGCCCGGTGCGAGCCCACGCCAATAGTGAACGATCCTTTCAGTTCAGCTCCGACTCTCTGCGGCGCATTCTGCCCAAGCCGTTATTCGATTCGGATTATCGCTTTCAGCGCATTGGGTACAAAAATAGAAAGTCGACTTTGTGCGCTTCGTCGCTGTCGTGCGCTCTCTAAAACATCATGATTGAAGACAAGTATGTCGCGTTCCACTCCCGTTGGCCTTCTCCTGAGAAGCCACCTCGATCGGGTCCTTCTTGTAACCCGACCACGCTATTCTCACTACACGTGCTAATATTGCCTCAAGGTATATCGGTCTGGCTCTTGCTATGACATCGGCCTTGGCCATCGGTAAGTTATGTTTGATTACACTGGGGCGTCGCAAGGCTAACCATCTTTCAGGAACAAGCTTCGTTATTACAAAAAAGGTTCGTCCAACAGAGCTACTGTCTGTCTGCGAGCGGCGAATCCTATCGTTGCTTCAGCGTCTAGCGCCATGTTCTACATCTCACCTTGAACATAAACTAATCCACTTCCTAGGGATTGATTCAAGCAGAAGAACGGCATGGCTTTGAAGGCGACGGCTTTGTCTACCTTCGAAATCCCCTGTGGTGGGCCGGTATTGCGACTCGTAAGTGCTCTATCAGACATGATCCCTATTGACAGCTTTACTAACATCAAATTAGTTGGTCTAGGAGAAGTCTGCAACTTTGCCGCATACGCTTTCGCCCCTGCTATCCTCGTCACACCTCTTGGAGCTCTCAGTGTGCTCATTGGCGCTGTTCTTGGCTCGTACTTCCTCAACGAAGAGCTTGGTACGCTGGGCAAGCTCGGCAGTGCTATATGCCTGATCGGCGCTGTTATTATTGTTCTTCATGCGCCTCCGGATGAGGAGATCGAGACCGTCGACGAGATCTTGCACTACGCAATTCAGCCAGGTTCGTACACAAGAAGCATATTTACGAGGATGGCAGTTCCTAAAACTGATCCCAGGTTTCCTTCTCTACGCCTTCGCCGTTGTTGCTTTCGCCGTCTTCATGATTTACAAGATCGCCCCTGTTTATGGCAGGAGAAACGCCCTCATTTATCTTTCCATCTGCTCCACCGTCGGATCCATTTCAGTCATGTCTGTCAAGGCCTTTGGTATTGCGCTTAAGCTTACTTTTGCTGGCCACAACCAGTTCAGCCACCCTTCGACATACGTTTTCATGATTTTAACGGCCGTATGCATTGTGACTCAGATGAATTACTTCAACAAAGCTCTTGCCAGCTTTCCCACCAACATGTAAGTGGTTTACGGAGTTCTAACAATTGGCCTTTACTAACAGTAGTGCCAGTGTCAACCCCCTCTACTACGTAACGTTCACCACCGCCACCCTCTGTGCCTCCTTTATCCTCTTCAGCGGATTCAACACGAACGACCCAGTCAATACTCTCTCGCTGCTTTGCGGATTCTTGGTTACTTTTACGGGCGTCTATCTCCTGAACCTTTCCAGGGGTGACCCCCATGGCCAAAGATTGACCGCTGGACGAGGAGGAAGCGACGCCACCGGTACCGACATGGTTTCTGGTTTACAAACTCGTCTGAGCATGCAGGCAAGGAGGAGCGGCGATCCTTCACGACACAGCATGAGCAGCCAACGTGGAGACCGCGAGGGTCTCATTCGCGCATACGACGAGGAAGAAGCTGCTGGTTTCGCTCTGACCGACCTCGCCTCGGATAGTGACGAAGATGTTCGTCACGCCAACGGCAATGGCAAAGCGAGCTATGACGAAAACATCGAGCTCGATAACCGCCACAAGTCAGGCGATCGGTGATGGTCTGCGACGTTTCCAGCAACCTAATGGCGGAGTAAAAGAATATCGGTTAACCGCCGGTCATCAGCTCCGCAACGATATCTTGCATGTTTCATTATCTCAAACAGGCATTGTACATTTTCAAACCATTTGACCGGGCATTTCTCTCGGAGTATGGGCTGCATACACGGATGGTACATTACGCAACGACATACTTTAATGTTGGTGCCAACTGTGTTTTTACCTATGCCAAACGGGATTGGGACTCGGAATCAACGACATGTATTGTTTGCTATTACTGGAGTACTATGGGCACACGGTCTTGGACGGCGTTGGCGGATTTTGTATTGGGGCCATAGGCGAATCCTCGTTGTACGATAACTACAGAGCATGAGCGATAGGATGGGACTGGACGGCGAACTTCCATATCAGGGCCGTTTATACAGGGATGGTTTCGGATCTAAGGAGGCGTCACTGTCTGCGTCTATCGGGCGATGAAAGGGCGAGTTGGGGCGTATATCACTGCCTCAATTCTCCAGGGCATGAACGAACGTTTCGGGTGTGGTAGATCTGTTATCCAAGTCGCAGGGCTTTTTCTAGGTTTGAGGAAGCCAAGTTTGAATTTTAACAAGAAAAGAGGGAAAGCCAGAGGCTGCCTATTATAGACAAGAATTATTACGACGTTTAGTACATTGGATAGCAGGTGGGATTGTATCTCACAAAAACAAGATTCTGGCTTGGAGATGTAAAGTCCTGATTATATTTGGTTCTCCATCGTGCTGTCTGCAATGTGCCTTTTGGCTTTCACTATATTCTCACCAGGCTGATGAAGATATCTTTTTGATGCCTGTTTGTACTTGATACATGACAATGTATGCCATTTCCTTCAGCTACGTCCAAGATTTGCTTATTTGGTGGATTGTGAATGACAATTATTGGTGGCCAGACTAATCCGTTCATTGGCCAGTTCCGTAAGTCAAGGAGAAAAACTACATAATATCCTCAACAAGGGAGTTAGATTATGATTGACAACATCTCTGAACATGGCTGGTCGTTTCAAACCGCTATATGATTGAATATCGACAAATATCCAAACTCAACCACAGCATCTGAAATTCTTTGTGGAACACAGATCACCATAAATGGCATAATTGACTGCCTTATTACAACCCAGCGTTTATTGAGCTACAATAGAGCCTTGACCGAAGCCTAGGATGACCATTAGGCTTGCTCTTGACGGAAGTTGAGTCTAGGAAAATCAAGAGCCAGAAGAGAAAGGATAGGTAATCATGTGAAGTATAACTGTTTTTCAACTCGATTGAAATAGGAAAAATGGGCGTGGCCGTTATTGTGGTTATGATACTCCCTAAGCTGTGTTGTGTATTAGCGTGAGGAAATATATAGTACCCCGGAAAGAGACGGACAAGCGTGATAAACAGACTTGAGTGTTGTCAGCTCGATATTGTGTGGGCAAGCTAGCCTGTCTACGAAACATTCACGTACTCAATTCAGACAAGACTTCAAAGTCGCTCAGAGGCACTCAAGGTATTGGTAGACAGAAGACACAGTCACAAGACGTGTCGTCGTAATCTTCGGGTCTCATTTTTTCTCTTTTATGCTTTGCCTACCATTACAAGCAAGAATGAAACCGTCCGTGCCCTTAGCAGATGCAAATGATCAATTGACGCCTGAGTAGACCTCCGTCCCTCATCCCACGGATCTCCATCTTTCCTTCATCAGGTTTTGACGGCTTTTCCCAGCCTGGTGATTTAAGCATTCTATTGCTCAACAGCCTGGACCTCATCACCACCCTCTTCCTCAGCAACTCGAGCATCCTGAGCAGCCTGAGCGGCTTGGGCGGCCTTAGCGCCGTAGTCCTGGCTGACAGGCTGGAGGACAGCCTGCTCCTCCTTGGGCTCGATAATGGTGACAGCGTCAGGGAGAGTCTTCTGGGGACCGGCCTTGCCCTCAGGGTCGGAGCCGCGCATGATCTTGACCTTGATACCCAGGACACCCTGTCGGAGGAGAACGTGACGGGTAGCGTGGTCGATGAAGTCCTTGGCGGGCTGACCAGAGTGAATCATGAAGCCGTCGGTGAACTTCATGGACTTGGCACGGGCAGCGCGGAGCTTACCGGAGACGACAACCTCGCAACCCTTGGCGCCAGACTCCATGATGAAGCGGAGGACACCATAGCAAGCACGTCGGACGGCGAGACCGTTGAGAAGCTTGTATCGCAGGGACTCGCACTGAGCGACGGCGGAGAGACCACGGTTCTGGACCTTGGCGGCGTAGAGGGAGACGGAGTTCTCGGGGAACTTGAATCGCTTCTGGATGAGCGAGGTGAGCTCGCGAATGCGGCGGCCCTGCTCGCCGAGAACCTCCTGGGTGTGGGTGGCTCGGATGATGATATCGGTGACGGTGGGGGTAACGCGGACCTCGACGCCGGAGTAGCCCTCCTCAGCGAGCTCGCGCTGGAAGAACTCGTTGAGCTCAGCGTAGAAGACACCGTCGGCGACGAACTTTCTCCGCTTGGAGCTGTGAAGAAGATTGTTAGTGAATCTTGGACTTTTGACTCGATTTTGTGACGGAGAATGGTATTTGGCGGGGTGACGATGGTGGTGATGGCGATGTTTCGATTCGATCAAGAAGGAGTTCGCAATTGCAATGTCAATAACTCACATCTGAGATCCGGGGTGAGCCATCTTGAAAATAGGACTTGTGTTGTCGGGACTGGACTTGACTTGGTGTCTTGTCTTGAGTCTGTTGGCGAGCTGAGGGTTGGCGGGCTGAAGAGAAAGATTCGCGGTCCTAGGTGGATTTCGGCTTCACTGCACTCACAAATGTTGGCCTACTCGCTCAATTTTTTGGTGTGTGGTTGAGCCCTAAATCTGGCAAGCGGGTTCCAGTGGTCGCACATTCCGTTTGGAGAAGTGGGTCCCGAATGCGAGGGGATATGTCCTCTCAATCGGAGAACGGAGAAACAAATTAACGAGCTGGATCCATGCAGCCAAAATGGGGAAAGTGCTTGGACCATGGCTCTGGCCTCTGGGGTGACGTCGCGGTCTCTTTTGGTAGCTGACAGCGCTGAGCCCCTCCTGCCATATGCCAAGTGGGCGCCTGTGGCTCGTGATGATGAGTGTGAGCTGTCTCCGGCTCTAAAAGAAACTCCATCCATTAATACTCAAAGTCGAGTCCAAAGTCTTCCTCCATGCGCGTCTAATTTTTCTTACTTTGGAAGTGACAAATATGTCAGCGTCCGTCTCATAACCTCTCCTCTCAGGTCGCCTTGTAACAACTACTTCTTCATCTTCCGGCGGCCCCGCGATATTGAGCTACCTCTACTACATCACCAGAGCTTCCGAGAAATCGTCCACACCGACATACAAAGAGATCATTGATATAACATAAACTCTACGGAGAGAGATCTCTTGCCCTTTAGCAACTACAAGGCGGTGAAGCCACGGTTTGCCAAAATGGAAGCCCGAAAGGTACGCGTTCTAATCGCCATTTAGAGCATCCCGCCTGTTCATGCGCGGCTTTGCGCTGCGTTTCGGCTCCTAACCTCATGTAGATCATCGAGAGCGTCCAGGGTATCTATGGCGGCCAAACAACTCATGGCACTTTGCGACTGACCGATTTTCATCTGGTATTCTGCGCACCCATCGATCAATCCGCCAAACCCTCAGAAAGTTCGTCTCACAAGCCCAAAGTTCGTGAGAGATGGATTCCATATCCCATGCTGTGCTATTGCGCACTTCGGCCGGTGCCACCCGGATCTCGCCAGGCTCCATCGATCCGTTTACGATGTCGTGACTTCACCTTTGTGACATTCAACTTCACCGACAGCGAGATTGCCCGAGAAGCTTTCGATTTCATCAAGTCTCGAACTTGCAAACTAGGAACAGTAGAGAAGCTCTATGCTTTCTCCCACAAGCCTCTAAAGCATGAGCGAGAGGTTGGCGGTTGGTCGGTCTATGATCCAAAAGCAGAGTTCAGACGCCAGGGTATCAGCGAGAAGTTGCCTGATAAAGGTTGGAGGATCACGCATATCAACAAGGACTATACCTTTTGCGATACATATCCTGCTTTTCTGGTTGTTCCCTCCAAGATCTCGGATAACGTCCTTAAGTATGCGAAGGAGTTCCGCTCGAGAAACCGTGTGCCGGCTCTGTCATACATTCATCCAGTAAACAACTGTACCATCACTCGAAGCTCTCAGCCCCTCTCTGGCATCACAAGGAAGACAAACGTGCAAGACGAGAAACTAGTAGCGGCATCGTTCAACGCCCTATTGCCGCCAGGCTCTGAGGAAAGCACGCCTCTATCGAGTCAGCCCGATGTGTCCCTTGGAAACTCGTCACTGGAGACGGAGCTTTCGGAGACGGAACGATATGAAGATGAGCTCATTTCGAGATCCGTTGCCGTTTATGATTCTTCTGGGAAGCGTCAAGTATATGGTGCACAGCAGAGCAACTTGATTGTGGATGCTCGTCCTACTATCAATGCAATGGTGAATCAAGTACAAGGAATGGGCTCGGAAAATATGGACAAGTACAAGTTTGCACGCAAGATATTCCTTAGTATTGAGAATATTCACGTCATGCGAAGCTCCCTCAACAAGGTCATTGACGCACTCAAAGACGCCGACATTTCACCTTTACCGCCAAACAGAGAGCTACTCCATCAAAGTGGCTGGTTACGGCACATTCATGATGTTCTGGATGGCTCAGCTATAATTGCAAGACAGATCGGAATCAACCATTCACATGTTCTCATTCACTGCTCCGACGGCTGGGACCGTACAAGCCAGCTCAGTGCTTTGGCTCAAATCATGTTGGACCCCTACTACCGCACAATTGAGGGTTTCATTGTTCTTGTGGAAAAAGATTGGTTGTCTTTTGGTCACATGTTCAGGCTTCGATCGGGCCACTTGAACCACGAGGATTGGTTCACCGTGCAGAAAGATGCTTTTGCAGGTTCCAAGGTACAGCCCGGAGAGAACGATGGCCGGGGTGACGCGTTCCAGAATGTGCTGAGTGGAGCGAAGCGTTTCTTCAACCAGAATAAAGATGACCCCGACTTGGCTGCAGTTAGTGAAACAGCTCCTGGAAAGGTTGTTGATGATGAAGCTACCTCTCCAAAGATGGTCAGTCCTGTCTTCCACCAGTTCCTTGACTGCACCTATCAACTTTTACGCCAAAACAAGACTCGTTTTGAGTATAACGAGCGCTTCCTGCGCCGCCTTCTATACCACCTGTACTCGTGCCAGTACGGCACTTTCCTCTTTAATTCAGAGAAGCAGAGAAAAGATGCGCGAGCTGCAGAACGGACATCTTCCGTTTGGGACTACTTTCTGTGTCGGCGAGCTGAGTTCACAAACCCCGACTTCGATGCCAGTATCGACGATCACGTCAAAGGACAGGAGCGGATCCTGTTACCGCGACTGAAGGAGATAAGATGGTGGCATCAGTTGTTCGGAAGAACTGAGGATGAGATGAACGGCGGTTTGAACGCCGCCGCAGCAGCAGAGACTGACCGCCAAACCGCCATATCAAATTTACAGTATCCCAGCGTTATCCAAGCAGATGCCGACCCTCGGTCATCCACTTCAAGCTCCAAGTCGGGGCCACCCTCGGTTCTCACAGGAGTTGAGACTGCCCACGAGACACTCACCCCTGAATCGCGACATACGCCAATCGAACGGAGCGCATCTACAGAACCAAGCGGTAACGCCTTTGCCGCTATCAGGGATGGGATTGCAGGTCTCAATCTAGGCAAGGGAATGCTGGGGCAATTTACAAATACTGGCGAGTCAGCGTCGTCGTCAAGTTCGGCTCCCGCACCAGCTCGTAGCGACCAGGAGCTACGTGAGATGATATAGAAGGTCATGTTTCCAGAGTCGGATCCTGGCCCTTACTTGATTGTCGAGACCCATGAATCCGTGCGACACTGTTGTCCCTGGCTACACCCGCCCGTAGCACCGCCGCTTCTGACAACAGAGTCTGACGCACCGTCAACGCTTGAGCGCTGCAGCTTCTACAGTGTACCCAGCGATCTCAGTGGAGAGTGGGAGTATATCAAGCGGCGCGACTCTGAGTCTTTGGGCCTTCACTCAAGACTTAACTCCATTGATAGTCTCCAGCCCGATGCGGGCCTGCCGACGCCGTGTCACTCTCCAACCATTGAAACGCCAAAACCTGTGGCAAAGCTTGAGAGAGTCCTCTTCAAATCTGATAGGCAGAGGCGTGCGATGGCAAATTCCGAGATGTAAGCATAGCATTCGGATTCATGATGTCTGAGTTCTCACACTTGGTTTCCTGATTTACACATGCGGACGTTTTTGTTGGCGCTAGAGGCAGTATCATGAGCCGGCTCTGGCGTTTAACTTGAGTGGTGATGACATTCTGATTTTGCGCCAATCACGCGGTACACGGCGAGGGCTTAGACAGCAATAGACTCCTTCAAGACTACGTGAATTAGGTAGGTAGTTATAGAGTGTAGTAAATCAAAACCTTCGGTTAACTCATAAGTTCAACGTTCGGCCTTGCTTGGTTTCTTCTTTATTTTTGTCTATCTTGTAAAGTCATCCTAGTTATGGAAACGTGTTTGTTCACATTGAATCATATCCACTTGATTTCGTTGCGTCCGTAGCCCTTTTTTGCTGCTCTAACCCTCGTGTTGTAGGTTTTCTTTAGACTCTTTGACATTACAGGAAGACCTCTAGATTGATCTCGAGAGTGCTGACAGGGTATCTATGAATATGTTAGCGATGTCACGTCGATACTGGTCGGCATGGGGGCTCACTTCAAATCAAACTTCTCCAACACGGTAGGGTGCAAGATGCCGAATTCGCCAATGCGTCTCTCTTTTCCACCAAGACGGAGATATACGGAAGCAGCATGGCCAGCGAAGAAGGTGGCATCGTCAAGCTCCTCAATCCAGTAACCATCAGGCTTGCTGGGGTTCTCCTTTACTTCAAAATCGACACTCTTGCCAGAAAGACCCTCCTCGTGGGTGAGGAAAGCAGTTCGAAGCATGAGAAGAACACGATCAAGCAGGCCATGGACCACCTCGAAACCGCTTGTTCGGCCGTACCAGGCGGCGGCGAAATGTCGCTCGTTACGAGCCTTGCGTTCTTGAGACTCATCCTTGAAGACAACGTCAGAGACCTCGAAGATCTTCATGGGCACGCTGTGGCCCTTGTTCTCGCGAATGGTCTTGAGAAGGCCAGGTAGAAGAGTTGATCGCACAACCTGATACTCGGCGGTCTTGGGGTTGGCCAGACGTACGACGGTATTTCCGTCATCCTTGCGGTTTAGCCAAGCGAAGTTCTCATCGTGACTACACAAGATCAGGGGCATAACCTCACTCCAGCCAGCAACGGCGGCCTCGATTCGGATAATATCACTGAGCTTGTTGACCAGCAGGGGGGCACCAACAGTAGCACTTCGTGAAGGAGCAGTACGAGGAAGGTTGTTGTATCCGTAGCACACAGCAAGATCTTCCATCACGTCACATTGATGAAGGACATCAGCTCGGGTTGGGGGAATAGCAACCTCGAGGATGTTGGAATCTTTTGTTGAAGGTGTAGAGGTGTAAGACATCTTGGAGAGAAGCTTGCACAGGCTCTCGGGAGACTCAGTGAGCCCAGTGCAGCTGTTGAGGTAGTCGATTTCAACCTCAGCAACTCTGGGCTTCAGGTTAGGAGTGACTCGGGTTTGGTTGTTATGGTCGGAATTGATCTGGACGGGCTCGACAGTGAAGGGCTCAGAGCAGTACATGGAGAACATGGTAACCATGATGTCGGTGACGATGTCGAGTTTGGTGATGTCGGTGGCAGTGATCTCAATAAAAACGTTGGTGGTGTCAAGTGTAATCTTGGAGTGATCACCGTTGATAATTGGAGGAAGGGAACAGACAACACGGTTGGAGTCGTAGATCGCAGGGTAGACTGGTGAGTCGCGAATGATGTGGAGGAAGCGGCCCAGGTGCTTGTCATTCTCATAGAAGTTCATCAACTCGGCAGAGTCCATCTCCTTGGTCTGGTTCAAGGGGATGAACTTTATATCCTTGGGGGGGAGGGCCTCGTAGGTGAAGGGACCTTTGATAGTATCATAGTCGTGGGTACCAATGGAGACTAGTGTTCGGTTTCGAGCAAGATTCTGGTGAAGCTTGTCTTGTAGAGAGATGAAGGACTCGTATCGGCTCTTGTCGAACTTGATATTGCGGAGGATAGCGCCAGAGACATATGGCCGGACCTGCTCGGCTTCGGGCTTGACGGTGATTGACTCAAGCTTGCCGCTTGCGGGCTCGACTATACGGTACTTGGGAGGCTCAATGCGTCCACGGAAGATATTGAGATTGGTGACAATACCCTCGAAGCAGAGCATATCATATCGGTTGGCGGGAATCTCAATCTTGAGCTGAGGAGGCTCCTGTTCGCCGTTTACAATTGGACGCTCATCATTCTCAGTATCCTCGTCAAGCTCGATACCGAACTCGAAGCAAAGGTCCTCAAACTCCTCGGTCGTGAATCTGTTTCAAGAGGAACAAGAGCTGTCAGCACACGTATAGAGACCTTGGGCGCGAAGTCGGAGAGCTCATGGTGGGGGTTGAGATGAACAAGGAGGGGCATTCGCACTTTTGACCGAGGGCTTCGTAAAGCTTGTACTTGTCGACGGAAATGGTAGGCATGATGAAGCGGAGCCTCGAGCCTTGTTTGGTAAATTGTCCTTTTTCCGAAGAATCAGAGGCGAGAGGCGAGATTTCCGTCGAGCGTCGGACGTGGATTTGGGCGTGGATTGTACTGAGTCACAGGAAATTTTGGGGATGTAGGTAGTTCGGGTTGCATGCGACGATGCGATACTCGAGTACTCGACAAGACGCAGGGCCATAGTGCGCTGTGACGGTACCCCTCTAGCGGATTGGGTTTGGCGGGGTAAACAGGACGGATCATCTATACTCCCTCCCCGACAAACTGTCAGGTACCGAGAAGCTTGCTTGAACTTCCAGTTCTTAATAGATACCTTATGCCAGTGAGTTGACATTACAAGAACTGGCAGTTTATCCGGTAAATTAGACTACGTTAGACATCTTACCTTTGATCATGAACGATCATCTTGTCTGCATGGCACTCATCAACCCAAACCCGAGGTAAGTTGACAAACCAACAATAATACCGAGCTCGAACAGCTCTGAAACAATGTATTGTTGCATCGAGAATTTGTCAAGGCAATCAGCTACCTACGCAGCCAAATTCCAAACATCAAATATATGCATAATGATGTCTGCACTGAGCTGGGAGTGGCGGGGCTTGGAGTTCAAGATTTCAAGGCTTGATCAGATATGATAGTGACGTCGGATGCGATCCTACAGAACCGATGCATCCTCAGAAGGTTTAATTTTTGTGCTCATACCCGTCCCGCGTGAACCGCAAGTACGCTCTCGGACATTGGTAAAGACGATATCGGTTCTGGTCTCAGTCTTGGCTTCAAATTTAATATTGCCATCCCCAGATTCAAGCCACAATGTACCTGAAGCGCCCTGACCGAAGGTGAGACTGAAAAGAGCTTGCCCCTCAAAAATCCATGTTCTCAGGGAAATGAGGAGCCACTTTGACCCCACTTCAGCCACATCTGAGCTGCCATCCAGCCAGAGCTGCCCTGTCTGCGCTGTTCGCCCGGGGCATTGGGCGGTTGCCCCTCTCCAAGGCAGCGTTCCTAACAGGGCATCGGTCGCTGAACAACGAAGCATCGAAGTGAAGTGAAGCAACCTAACAATACTGCACCAGCCTCACTCACCTCCACTGACCAGCCGGCGAGAGACAAACATCCAGCTGCCTCTCCACATCCACCCTCTTCTCCCTCCCTCATCTATCGATTCACATGTCCACGTCTCAAACCTCGACAACCTTGCTGATTTAGGCCACGGATTTACCCTTTAACTCTGCATCCAGAGTAACCCATTTTCTCTGCGCTGAGCGTATCTTACAGCTCTTAACCCCCCCCCTGCGTGACCTCGTCTGTGGCTCTCGTCTTTCAGCCAAAAATCGTGTGTTGGGACTCCTCAGCGCAAATCATTGCATCACCCACCAGCACAGCACAGCACAGCACCACTACCACTACCACTACCACTACCACACGCGATCCACCCGCAACCGCCAACCTTCCTCTCCCTCCCTCCTAACGATCATCTCGACTCATCTCGGACGCTGCCACTCATTTTCTTGATAAATCTGCGATCTTACCGCCCCGCTCGCCATGGCTGACGCGCCCAACTCTGGCGATGAGCTGTACCCTATCGCCGTCCTTATTGACGAGCTGAAGGTATGCTAGATTTGGCGGTGACGCCACGCTCCATCCCAACGCTTCCCCTTCCTGCGTGGTTGTCTTATCGCCAAGAAGCGAACAATTACACGTTCATTACTGACGCTCGATTCCTCTGCAGCACGATGATGTTTTGCTCCGTCTCAACGCCATCCACCGTCTCTCGACCATTGCTCTCGCTCTCGGCGCTGAACGAACCCGTGAGGAGCTTATCCCCTTCCTCGATGGTCAGTCTTCGATTAGCTCTCCCGCTTACCAATATGCGCTTTAAAAGCAAAGACGTCTCCTAACCTTGATACTATGCAGAGTCCGTGGAGGATGAAGATGAGGTCCTTGTTGCCCTGAGCGAGGAGCTTGGCGGCTTTGTCGAGTATGTCGGCGGTTCCCAGTGGGGTCACGTTCTGCTGTCTCCCCTCGAGAACCTCGCTTCTATCGAGGAGCCCGTCGTTCGCGACAAGGTAAACGAACACGCCGTTTTCTTTAGTCGCCCTTCCTGACACTGACTGTCAATGCAGGCCGTCGAGTCCCTGAACAAGATTTGCACCGAGCTTTCTTCTCAACAAGTCGAGGAATATTTCATTCCCCTCACAATTCGCCTCGCCAAGGGCGATTGGTTCACATCAAAGGTTTCGGGATGCGGCCTCTTCACAACTCCTTATAACAAAGTCTCCCCACCCGTCCAAGAGCAGCTGCGCCAGCAGTTTGGCCTGCTGGTGCACGATGAGACACCCATGGTCCGTCGCCAGGCTGCCACCAATCTCGCCAAGTTTGTCAAGGAGATGCCCGCCACCATCGTTGTCGACGAAATGATACCCCTCTTCCAACACCTCGCGCAAGATGATCAGGATAGCGTCCGATTACTCACAGTCGAGGTTCTCATCTCTATTGCCGAAGCCGTTCCCAAGGAGCAACAGGCCAGCCATGGTGTGTTGCTGACAGCTCTACGCAATTTGATAGAGGACAAGAGTTGGAGAGTCCGATACATGATCGCGGATCGGTTTGAGAAGGTTCACAATACCTGCCACTTCTTATTGTCGTTGCTGATGCTAATTTTTACAGATTGCTAAGGCGGTAGACGAGGAGGTTGTTTCTAGAGACCTCGTTCCCGCATTCGTAAAACTTCTCAAGGACAACGAGGCCGAGGTACGAACCGCTATTGCTGGCCAGATTCCCGGCTTCTGTGCTCTTGTGGATCGTAACGTGCTCCTCAACGACATCATGGGCAGCATTGAGGATCTTGTCTCGGATACATCCCAACATGTCCGTGCTGCGCTTGGTACCCAGATCAGTGGCCTGGCTCCTATCCTTGGAAAGCAAGAGTACGTCAGTCAGTCTTTGCGAACAGGGCCTCGATTCTAATTTCCCTCTCAGAACTATCGACCACCTTCTCCCCATGTTCCTCCAGATGCTTAAGGACGAGTTCCCGGAGGTTAGGCTCCACATCATCTCCAAGCTTGAGCTCGTGAACCAAGGTCAGTCACAGAACTCATCATGTATGATATGAAGCTGACGTAATGCAGTCATTGGTATCGACCTCCTCTCACAGTCACTTCTTCCCGCAATTGTACAACTCGCCGAGGATAAGCAATGGCGAGTAAGACTTGCGATTATCGAGTACATCCCTCTCCTCGCCAGTCAACTGGGCGTTCAATTCTTCGATGAGAAGCTCAGCAATTTGTGCATGGGCTGGCTGGGAGATACCGTTTTCTCTATCCGTGAAGCCGCTACTCACAATCTGAAGAAGCTCACTGAGGTCTTTGGTGTTGAGTGGGCAAGCGAAGCTATCATCCCCAAGGTTATGGCTATGGGTAACCACCCTAACTACCTTTACAGGATGACCACCTGCTTTGCTATTTCGGTGATTATTGCCCTTACCTGAAACTGTGAGCCCAAACTGACTCTTTTACAGACATTGGCGAGCGTTGTGAGCATGGATGTGATTGCCAAGTCGATCCTCCCTATGCTCGACAAGCTGGTCACTGACGATATCCCCAACATCCGTTTCAACGTGGCCAAGACATACCGCGTCCTCATCAATGTGCTTCGACGTCTGCCAGACGAGGGTACCCTGTATGATCTGGAGAAGCAGGGCAGTGAGATCACACCGTCGCCTCGGGGCTCGGAGCTGATCCAACAACGAGTTGTTCCTAACCTGGAGAAGTTGCAAAAGGACGACGACGTGGATGTGCGATATTTTGCGACGACAGCAGCTGCCGAGATCTCGGGACCCATTGCTGGCGGGGAGCCTATGAATACATCGCCATAGATGAGAGACGTAATGAAGCAATAATCATTGTCGAGACAGATTTTGTCTGCTTTTTGTTTTGTCCCGTCCATGTCGCTACAGAAAGAGAGAAAGACAAACAGAAGCTATGAAGTCGTACGTTGCATAGTAGAAGCTACTAGTTGGAGCTGGACATTGCTGCGCTGAGTTGAGTCAAGATGAGAAAGGGGAATGTTCTGCAAAATATGCGATAAACAAAAGCTTGATGCGGAGCCTCTGAAAGGGGTAAGGAGACGGACTCAGATGAAGCTTTGGGATCACGAAAATGGGGAGGAGTCCAAGAGGGATAGTCCAAGCATTGACACGAGTCCAAATACCATTGTATGATACAACAAGAGCTCTCAGAGGTGAATGATATTGACTGTTTAGAATAGGTGCTGGAGCCAGCACAGAGTGATGATGGGTATCTTTTTTTTTTGTTCTTCAAACTACACTGCATCTATATCTTTCATACCCTGCGGAAGCAGAGCGTACTGATTGTTTGGCCTTTGTGGCCTCCAAAGCTGAAGGAACGATATTCAACTCTGCCAACGACTTGGAACCCTTCTTCGCTGGTCTTTTCGAACCAGCCTCTCAACTCCGTCTCGGTCCAGTTGCAGCTTGTCACCAAGAAGACGCCACCCTTTCGAACAAGGGGTAACACTCGCTCTCGATAACATTCACATAGCCGTCGTCCTTGGGCATCTTTCTCGTCGCTTAGAGAGATGGCATCGAAGGTACCCTTGTCCAGTACCACATCCCAGCCCTCGGTCTGCTCGCCGTTGAGGACAGGGCTGTATGGTCCAGCTATAAGATCCCACTCTTCGAATTCGACAGGCTTCTCAAGGTCGTCTTTTGTGGTGGCAATTTGTCTCGCGAGTGCAATGCTTTGGGGGCTGTAGTCCACGCCAAGAGCTCGTGCAGACCAATCCTCTTCGCGCAGGGAGAAGAGAAGAGAACCGTTACCGCAGCCAAGATCGAGAAAGGTGGTGGTGTCGTGGGAGAGGACAGGCGAGTCTGGGTCAGAGGGGTCAAGCAGACCGTCTAGGAACTCAAGGATCTTTGCTTCAGCATCTGAATCGTCAAACCAAACAGTTCCGATGTCGGAGGGATCAGCGGCGTGGTTTGTTATCTCATTCGTGTAAAGGTCATCCCAGCTGTAGGGGCAGAGTGTTAGTCTGCAGTTCGAAAGAGACAGGCGAAGGGAGATGGTAGGGTACTATTGTTTTGTGCCAAGCTTTGACGGCTCAAGGTGCTGGGGCTTTTCGTTTGAGGACATTGTGGAAGAGTTGTTTTGGGCTTCGAGAGGAATGAAGCTATCCAGGATCTTTTGTTCCATTGACATTAACAATGACAATGATGGTATATTTTGTGGTGGGGGTATCGAAGAAATGTCCAAAAGGAGCAGGCGGTGAAGGTGGGGTAATTCTTCATGTGCTACCTTACAGGCGCAGGCACCTCAGAAACCTGAAAGTGTAACGTATAGACTATAGGATAGATTTAGGTAAGGTAGTGTTCATACACGCCGAGTCAAGGCATTCAAAATCCATCAAACATGTCACAAATTCTCTCAGAAGAGTTTTAGTAGTAGGGCAGAACCTGAGAACTAAAGTTCTTGCGGATACTTCTTAAGTATAAAGCTCATACCTTGAGGATATAAAGACTAGTCATATACAGGCAGACAGACGTTGCTGATGAACTTGATAGGGTTGGTTGGTCACCAGGTACAGTAAATTGGTTCTAGCATGGCGTCAAGCTCTTGAGGTGTAATGGATCCCCTCAACTACCCATTGTCAGGTACTTCTGGAACGCAACATGTGCAACAATGTGTATATCCTGCTGCAACAGCCGCAACAGCAATCCCACAACCCAAGCAGATCAAATCAGATGGATCGTGTAGACGAGCAGGCCTATTCCTACTCTGGCCTTGGAGGACCACATGATCCTTTTCCGTCCATGAGAGAGGGATGACCGATAGCCGTCCCTGTATGAGTATTTATCATTCGATCATCATGATCATGAATACCTTATTCCTGATATCAACCGCACCGCAAAATCATGCAAGTTTCCAAACACCAGGCCCCGTATAAGTTAACAGTTCGTTCGTCTTGTCGCGACGATGGTTATCACTCGTCCAATCAATTACCGGACGAGTAACGTAACAGCAAAGCCCCATAAGCAATATGTGTGTATGTATGAATGTGAGAAACAGAACCATAAATCAAGCCGAGCTTAGTAGAAAGACTCGACCATGGTGTCCTTCATGCTCGTGTTGATGTTGCTGGGGCCCTGGCCCTCGCCGAGACGGAACACACTCTCGATAACGCTGAGCTCAGTGGCAGTTGTGTCGAGACCAGTCACGGCGAGCCAGTCGTTGACGACCATTCCAGCGCCAACAACGTTAGAACCACGGTTGACACTACCGGCGACGAGAGGAACCTGAAGCAAGCTGGACAATTCGTCCTGATCTTGGATAGGAGTCTTGGGATGCACGAGACCACCCTGGTTAGACAAGCTCATGTAGCTGCCCACCAGGACATTGTCTGCGACAGTCTGACGGAACACTTCCACGCCGAGGACATCTGCAATAATCTCTTCTGTTTCACGTTCCAAATCAGGGTGCACGAGAGCGATGTGATCGTTTGTGACGATGACGTTTCCGAGAGCTGACAAGCGCTCCTCGATACGCTGGATACGGACTGAATCGGGAAGCGAATTTCTCAAGTGCTGCAGCTCCTGGTCGGTTGTGGTTGTGGGAACGAGAAGACCCTTACGGTTGCCAGCGGTCATACGGCCAATGATACGGGTACCAGCGATTGTGGTTCGCACAGTAGGAATGATATCTTGGAGTTCGGCTTCAAAGACACTGCAAGATGTCAGCATGAAACTCGTAGTCAAAGATAGGTGAGAGGGCTTTACCTGTAGAAGTTCTCACTGGCACCGAGAGCCACGAGGGCATAAGAGTTGGTCAAGGTGGAAAAGACACCGACCCTGGAGATTGCAGGTTAGCATAAAGTTCTGATCTTTCAATCTCGTACCATTGTACAGCAAGGCATATCATCCATATAGATGGATATGCGCCGCATAAGAAAAGGCGGGGGCGGGGTTCTTGAGGCACAGGGAGCTTCAATCGCCAGAAGAAAAGACAACAAAGATGACATACTCGTTGGAGTTCTCAAATTGAGCGCGGACGGCCATGATTGCTGAAGTTTTCTGGGTCGTGCAAGTCGTAGAGTCTATAATTTTGGAGGTTTGGTGTAGTTGAAGATTGAAGTTATCGCAGAGTGGATGCTCGTCGTAGGTTTTTTTTTTTCTTCGTCTGGTTGGTTTTGCTTTCTTGCCCCTCCTTCTTCTTTTTTTTGGGGCGGGGGAGCTCTCGCCGCTATTTATGTAATGCGGTTTCTGGATCAGATAGTGGAGCTCAGGCAGTCAGCAACTAAAAGTTGTCACTAAAATTGCTCTCAGCACGCCCGAAAACAGTAATGAGCCTGATGACTCACTGAAGCAAATTGCTAAGGAACCTCGCCACTATGGATTGAGCGGGTAAGGTGAAAAGGACCCTGCTTAAATCAACAAGGTATATGGATATTTGTTACATGTGGGATGACTCCTTTGAAAGGAAATGACTCCTTGGCCGTTCATTAAGCAACTTCCAGAAGTTAGGTACCTTATCCCAAGGATCTATCAACCTCGTAGAATTCAGCCCTAGGTAGGTCCTTAGCACGTAAGGTAGCTTGGACCCTTCGACTCATCTCGCATCAAGTCCAAATACGGTAAGTGATTATATCATCCATCCTGCTCCAGGTCAAGCACCTTCATCATACTCAAATAACGTGATTCGGAGCCTTTTCATGACTCTAAGCTTAATTTGTATATGCAGCCAGATGCCAAAAGGAAATCCTTGTCGCATCATGAACTGCTCGTCTCATGGTAACATGTATTTACACAGAACAAAATAAGGGTCCACATCCAGTATCCCTAAAAATATATATATATATATATATATATATAAAACCATCATCATGCCGTTCGTGATCCTTTGTCCCATCTTGCCCTGTTCGGGTCATGTTGCCACAAACCCTTATGACCTCCCAGTCAACTCTCGGGCCCTCATTCTCTCTCCGGATATCTACTGTCGCCTCGCCATTCACCCAACGCATGGCGCTCATTTCTCGCTTCCCTGAGCTTCATCGTAATAGAGTTATCAATACTCAAAATACTTGTCCTCACAAAGTCCAGACAGGCGCCTTCATCAGAACTTGTCTTCCTCGTACTTCCAACGCCATAAATCCTGCGAATCGCACCCTGTTCGAGTCCTTCGGCAGGGCCGCTACAAAAGTGTCCTTGTCAGCATCCTTCCTTGCGCTCTTTGAAGCATCGTTACCCTCCCCGCTCTCGGGCGGGGCTGCATTATTCAACGTACCAGTCTTAGCTTTGCCGCTCTTTTCATCGTCGCCGTCCTTGTCGTCGCCCTCTCCCTCTCCCTTCTGAGCCTCCAAGACTGGCAAGGCCGCTTTTTCAACTTCCATTACATGCGGCTGGACGATCTCTCCAGGTAACGGGTAGGTAATGGCCACATCCCGACTCTCCAGGGGGAGGTTGGCTGCAATGCCCACCGCAAGCTCCACGATCATCGATGCGCTACCATCCACGCCAGGTGGTGGCGGGTTGCAAAGGAACTGGTAAAGGCAGCTTGTCAGGGATGCCGTTGACTTGGCGATAAATGCATTGCGATTATCGTTCGCAGCTGGTGAGTTAAGCTGTCGGTGCAAGCCGTCCAATGATGTCATCCGCCAGCTCACAATCTTGTTCGTCAGGGCGTCGAACTCTTCCTGACTAGTCAAAGTATGCGTGTTGCTTCGAATGCCCAGCTCAATCTCCTTGAGAGATTGGCTCAGCTGCGCATCCAGTCCAGGGTGAAAACACTTGTTGAACACCTCCTCCATGATCCAACGTGAGATGACAGCGCGTCCAATAGCTGTCATCTCAGCCTTTCCCGTCTTGAGTGCTTCTGTGCTGACATACTTGTCAAGCCATTGCGGCACGCACCGCCAATCTTTTCGAATGTTGAACGAAAGGTTGTTAATGGCACCATTGAGTCGGTTGAATCGTGTCGAATATTCACTGTCATCGAGAGCGGTACGCGATTGCGACATGCGCTGGTTGGCGACTGCATTCTGGAGGTGCACGATTTGACCATTGAGCGCCTCAATCTGTCCCTTGCCATCAAAGTAGAGTCTCTTGACGTTCTTGTATTTAGTTACTGCAAACAATCAGTATGCTGTACTCACTGCGCCTAGGCAGAGATTCTTCCGGTCTGTACTTACACAGGTCCTTGAAAGACTTGTCATTCTCGCCAGCCTCAGCGGGGACTGCAGATACTGGCTGGGGGCTGTCCCTTCCTTGATCCACGGTTTGACCCTCATACGGAGATGGGCGATCGCCACGGTAGGCCGGTGACTGGCCAGCCGACTGTGGCGGCACGGGAGGCAGCGGGTTCATGTTGTTCATAGAGTTGGCGGGACGGTAAGTGGGGGGCGGGCCACCGGGGACATCGGCCTGCCCACGCAATTTATCGGAGTCAGGACGGCGCGCGGATGGAGGTCCTCCGGTCGGTGGTGCCATACCGGGTTGCTGCGGTTGGGTAGTTGTTTGTTGAGCAGGAGGAAGGCTCGGGGTTGAACCTTGATTCTGTATATACAGGGCGTGGTTCACAGCGGGAGAGTTGGTTGCTGATTGCAGTTTGGCCGAACGCTGGTCCGAGTCGGCGATAGGCGATTCATGCGAGAACTGAGAGACTGTTTCAGGGTTCTGAAACTGTGCGCTGGGGCCCAAGTGTGCGGGAGCTGATCGTAGATCTCCACCTTGATTACCACCCTGGTGATAGTTGCCTTGCTGCTGAGCGTTTGAGAATTGATAAGGCTGTTGCGAAGGCGAATGCTGTGGTGGGTTGAGAGGTGATTGTTGCTGGTCGTACACGTTCGTCTCGTAACCGCTTTGTGGTTGTTGGTCCTCCGTATGTACCTGAATGTGGGTTTGCGGCTGCTGTTGGTGCTGCTGCTGCTGCTGCTGTAGCGGGGCCTGGCTCTGGTTCTGGTGATAGGCGGCGTCCTCGTAAGGCTGTTGCTGCTGCTGATGTTGCTGTTGGTCTACTTCACCAGAAACTTGGCGAATGGTGTTGTGGAGCGAAATTCGTGAAGTCTGTGAAGGTGATGGCTTGTTAGATTGATGCGCGGTATAGTGTTCATTGATATCGTCGAGACCTTGGCGAGACGAAAGCTGGGGTAAGGGGGAACGTTGACCCTCAGGGACCTGCTGGACCTGCTGGGGAGCTCAGCTTGAGCTGGAGGACGCGGCGAGGGCGGCTAACGCCAATGGCACGGCACGATAGCCAGAATTAACGACTAGGGCTTGGGCTTGGGCTTGGGCTAGAGATGATGAGAGGAGATTGGGTCAAGTTCTGGACTGGGCTTGACGGCTGTGGCTGGCGGAGTGCTATGCCCAGTAACAGGTAGAGCAGAGAGGTAGGCGGAGTGAGATTGGGAGTGAGATTGGGGTGTTGGGCTGGGCTGAGAGAGGGGAAGAGACAAGTGAACAAACAAGATAGGAAGACTGGGGGTTCCAGTTCACAACTGGTAAGGAGTAGAACTAGGGGAACAAGAAAAACAAGGAACGATTCAGAAGAGAAAGGCGGTGGATTGCTCACCCGCTTGGAAGGCCGACGTGCAAGGCCGCCAGTATTATCGTAGGATTGGTTGTTATTGTGGCCGATGCTTATGCTATGGTGGTGCTGGCCGTCAGACGCCCCACGATTGGACCCAGAAAATATGCCCTTAATCAATTTTCGAGTCGAGCGCTTCTCAGCAGGAGCTGTTTGCTGTTGTGCTTGTACCTGTGCTTGCTGCTGCTGCTGCTGTTGTAGCTGCTGGGGTGGAATTTGGCCGTAATGGTTCAGGTCCTCTACGGATGAGGTCTGGAGGTTGTAAGGCGTGGCAGCGCTATAACGGATACTCTGCGAACGGCCCAGGCCCGCGTCGTTAAATTCGCTCTGCTGCTGATGAGGATCAAATGCGACGTTAGAAAGGTTGGAACTCTGCTGCTGCTGTAATGAAGGAGGATGTTGATTAATGTTAGCACCGGTTGTGCTACTGGCGGCTGAAGGCGAGCTATAGGGATGCGGCGGGGGAGGGGCCCCAGCGGAAGCGGAGGAGGGGGAGGGCAGTAACGGTAGAGAACCTTGAGGCTGCTGCTGGGGATGTTGGAGATGTAACGGCGGCTGTTGATTCTGCAGGTAGTGAGAGGGGGGAGGCGGCTGTTGTGAATCAAAGGACTCGCTCGAGCTGAAGGCGGTATTATGGGACGAGGACAAGGCTGAATGGGGGTTTATGCTGGAAGGATTGTTGGCGCTCGCATTAGCACTGGCAGCGTTGGCATTGGCACCGACCGAGTGCGACTGGCCGAAGTGGGCGCCGTGGGAGGCTGAGTCTGCCTCGTCAAGGAGTTGCTGGTGCTGCTGAACTTGATAGTGTTGATCCTGCTGGATCTGCTGCTGTTGTTGGAGCTGCTGAGCCTGGTGGCTTGGTTGACGCTGGTGGCCTGCCGCTTGAGGTGTCGCAGCACTACCGCCTGTCGGAGTCTGGCTGTTGTTCGTCGGGGTTGAAGCCGCAGGCGTCTTGGACGAGTTTCGCGGCTCACCGAGCGCATGCGATGACCGGTTGCTGTGCTTGCCGAGGAAGTTCCTCATACTGCGATTGCGATTGTCGTTGCGGACGGCAGATGAGGAGGGAGTTCGGGGGAGGTAATCGCGCACAGCGAGTGTTGAGGTCGGAGAGAATGGAACAGGCGGAAGTTATGGGAGGCAGATGAGAGAGATAGAGTCCAATGCCAGCTAAGGTAGGTAGGTGAGGTAAGTCAAGTCCTGTAGGTCACCTATCGAAATCGGGGCAGTACACCAGAGCAAGGTACTTCTTTGAGCCACCTATAGAAGCAATGGAGGGCACCGATCGGACGGGACGGGACACGGCGCAAGCTAATTGAGCTATCCCGTTCTGCCTGTGTCTAGGTGGGTGCCCGTGCTGAACCCGCTGCCATGGATGGGCCGTAGTGGATGTTCAGCGCCTTACTTGCTACCCTGCTACCTGTGTGCAGACCTCGTGGACACCGAACATCCATGGATCCCTGGAGAGATTGGGTAGCAGAGGGGTGATAAGGCGGATACAGTACCACTCGCTAATAATATGTCTTTGGGCTGTGTTCCGAGTTATTAACTTGATCAATTGCGCGGCTGATGCTTTTCATTCGTGTATATGGGTTTCATCTGGTCTTGACACGAATAAAACAAGGTCTACCTATGTTGAAAGCACAGCCTCTACTGACTATACCCTGTGGCGCTGCATTCGTATGATGATAGGCAGGCCTAGATTTTGTGACCAAGACCCTGAACTGGATTGTGAAACGGAAAGTTACAACATGCTACCCAAGGCTGGTCATTTTTGAACGGATGGTTTGTTACCTCTTAGCATAGAACCATGCACAAGACAACTTCAGTTGAGACAATCGGATATTAGCCAAGACCAAGACCAAGACTCCAGCAGCGTTAGCACGTTCCATGTAAATCTGCCAATCTCCTCTACTGCAGGTGACATATTCTGGAATATGTATCAACAGTTACTGTATCCACTAGCGTAGTCAATATGCACTACAACATTTGGATTGTCAGCATCGCGTTGGTTGAGTCTTTTCTCCTCTAGACAAGTTCGTCCACTCCCAAGCTTCCCGTACATGTCAGCAATAAGCCCTCCTATGAGAGCTACATAGTAGTACTTCAAGCTTTGATCACCTCTCACTTGCGGTTCATCAGCCTTTTCGGAAGTTGTCTCGGTCAGTCCTTGTTTCTTGAGCGGAGTACGCTGGCCAGACTGGCCTTGTGGACACTGGATTCTGTTGAAGGGAGGCTGTGTCTGCGGGCTGGGATCCAATATGTGATCCTGCGGTTGAAAGACGATGCCGCATATTGCCGGTTGTTTTGCTAATGATTGATGTAGTCCAACGCGATCATGTCGCTATAAAGATCTCTGAGGGTATTCTATATGTTCTATCATTGATTCGTCTTATATAATGTTCGTTGCTATCCCATGAAAGCTCTACAATCCAAGTCTTTATAACTTGTCATCTTTAATTTTGAATCTCGGTGCATCCCACAAGCCGTGCGTACCCTGGCAATTTGATACTATGAATAGCAACTCATAAGCTTCCTGCCAGACAGGGATGTGTGTTGATCCAGTGTCGAGTGTGGCAGGACGAGAACTTCGCTATGTTTCTCACGAGAAGTTAGATCTCAGTGCTGGCCGAGGTCAACATCTGAAATCCCTCTGTTCTGATGAGCTACCATGACTTGGACAGCACTACTCTTTTCAGCCTACCATATATTGCATGGTCGAGCTAGCTGACTTGAGGCTGGTTCCCAAGCGTTGTGACTGTGACACCCGAATACGTATGAGGAGACATGTATACAAGGCACCTTCCAAATGGACAATCTATAATATGAGAACCACTTGTGGGCCACAAAATCGAAGCAAATACCGTCGCCTAACAGTACATCGTCGTATTTTGTAGGTTGAGCAAGCCCGGCCCAAAGATCATCAACGCCCATGTCTAGGGTAGGCTTAATAAGGTGAACCGTCATTCCCTAAGCCGGCGATTAATTAATTCAGCGATCATGACCTTCATCTTTCATAATTCGGCTTCCAACCTGCGTAATGAGTCCGAGGACATTGGTATATAAATCTAAACCTTCAGAAGAAACTTCAGCGCTCTAAAAGAACCCATTCGCTTCGAACATTCACACCAACAATACCTAACTCCAACCTGCTCACAGGTGATCTGACAGTTGGCCATCCACTATCACATCTGAACTAGAACAACCTGCCGTCATGTGCTTTGGTGCGACTTGCCCAACATGCTGTGAGTTTCTGTCATTTCCTCCACACCAATTGAGTTTGTGAGATATTAATTGAAGCCTATCTAGCGAAGAAATCGTGGCGTGGGTGCGGTAACCACGTTCAACAAGTCTTCGACGGAGTGCCACAGACTGAATGGTGTACTTGTGCTCCCAAAACCAAGATCGGCGGCAAGGAATATCCTCCTGCGGCTCCCATGCAGATTCCGGGCCTGAGTTGGATTTCTGGCATGCTTGGGGGAGGTAATCGTCAAAATCCTGGCAGTGATAAGAAGCCGGAGCTATGAAGTTATATGGACATCATATCTCTGCCACGCTATCAATCAGCTGTTTGGATAACATGAATGCGGGGATTTGCAGGGGTGAGAGGTCCGGAAGTCGGTAGTTTGAACTTCATGACATGAAATAGGGCGTCGAGTCATATGCATAAATGCCGGGGTTGGGGTTTGGAGTATGGGGAAGTTTCAACATTGGTTGTTTGTATGGATAGTAGACGTGCGTGAGGTGTTGGACGAATTATGGGGAAGTTGTACTATGTAAATCGATATACCATAGATGAACGGGAATAGAAATTCAAACATTTTTTATTTCAAGATTCACAGATGCCAATTCGATGTGGATGTTATCATTGATCCTTAAAGCAGGTGGACGCGGGAATCCCCAGAATGTGGAGAAGACCTTACTCGACAGGGGACAAAGAAGCGACAACTAGATACGGATATGTAATAGAGAGACGATCAAAGGGCGTGACTGGTTATGAACTAACTTATCTCTCGGTTACGCAGCAATTCCCCCCACACGAAGTAGGCAATTCGGGCTTGGACCCGACGAGTTGGAGTCATATCGGAGCGCTTCTATCTCAGACGCCTCGTGATAAGAACCTCAATCTAGCCGGTCAATGGTTGGATCCAACTCTCCCTCTTTCTCTTCATCAAGTGAGAGAATCAGCCATCAATTAGTCAAGTTCAAACATATCAACGTTGCTATAATGTTGATACTATCACCAAGCTTCATGCTTGGAGCCGCCGCTCTCCTTGTCATTACTCATATCATTATCCGCTTGACTTCGGCTACCGCAAAGGTTCCCGGTCCCTTCGTATCCAACTTCACCTCACTTGTACTGAAATGGCACGAACTCAATGCCAACCGTACCATGCACATTCACGAGCTTCATAAGAGATATGGCCCAGTGGTCAGGGTCGCACCCAATGAGGTCTCCTTCACTTCGATTGATGCTCTCAAAGAAATTTATGGCTCCGGTGGTAGCGGATATGACAAGACCGAGTTTTATGACCTCTTTCAAGTCTACGGCAAGCGGTAAGAACTCACATTATAGGACTGGGATGCTGGCTCTGACTGTGCCTTGCAGAACAATGTTCTCAACATTGGTTAAAGGCGACGTAGGTTCAGATTAGGAGCCATGATGTTTAGTCAAACTGACCTTTTGACTAGCATGCGAAACGACGGAGGATGATTGGCGATAGATATGCCAACAGCAACGTAATGAAGCAAGCCCCCCTGGCCGGGATACAAGAACGCTCCAAGAGGTTTGTTGAGCGTTGTGTTGACTCACCTGACAAGACGGCAGACGTATTTGTAAGTTGAGAGCTCTTCTTTTCAGGAGTATGCTAACAAACCGATATAGAGAGGTTAGTTCCGATTACGAGGAGCAGAACCGATTGAGGAGAAAGACACAGCTGACCAAAACAGCGTTGCACGCATATGCTTGTGATTGTGTTACGCACCAGTTGTTTCACCCATATGGAAGCAACTGCCTGCAAAACAAGGACGATGAAGAAATGATGCATCAAGTTGCTGCCGATGACAGTCTTCAAAGTAAGCTCTCGTATGCCAAGGATCGCGCGTTGGAGCTCACAAGAGAACTTAGACCGTCTGGTTCAGTACTATAGCCCGATTCTTCACCGTCTTGGATCCAGCATTCTGACTAGCTTTGCCAAACCTCGATTGATTCCCCTGGCCGACAACTTTGTGATTGAAAACGCCAAAGAAAATGGTGCGGCAGATTTCACCGTATTAAACCGGCTCAAGGAGAAGGATAGCGTCCTTGATACTATCGACATGGCTGCCGAGTGTCTCGATCATATGGCCGCTGGCATCGATACAACCGGCGACGTTCTGTGCTTCTTAATGTGGGAACTTTCACAGCCCCGGTCGACAAAGTATCAACGACTTCTGCGAGAAGAGTTTCGAAGCAAGCCTGACGCCCACTTTGACGAGTTGCCCATGCTAGATGCTGTCCTAAACGAGGGACTGAGATGTTTCCCCGCTATTCCAATGTCATTGCCTCGATACGTCCCCCACGGTGGCCGTGTCATTGATGGGTTCTCCTTACCCGAGAAGTCAGTTGTCAGTTGTCAGGCCCTTTCAGTTCACCGAATCAACGATCATGTCTTCCCCGAGCCGGACAAGTTCTACCCTGAAAGGTGGTTGGAAGCCGAAGGAGACGCTGACCGACGAAGACACCAATGGGCCTTCTCCAGTGGAGGAAGAGGATGCATCGGGAAACAGTGAGTAGCTCTGCTGAGTGTAAAGAGGGAAGATGTTAATACGTGCTATAGCCTTGCCATGGCGGAGATGAAGACCCTGCTGCGAGACGTGTATTCACGATACGAAACTGAGCCGGATGAATCAATGAAGAGCGAATCTATGGCGATGGACGATCAACTGATATCCTCACGACCTCTCGGAAAGCGATGCCTCCTTAAATTCGTGCCTGTGAAGGGCTGAACTATAATTCAGAGACCGCGACAACGAGTTGATGAGCATTGACGAGGAGACGGGAGCTTGATCAGGGCATCAGAATCGCGATTAGTATACACACTAAGGGCATGTTTTATCAATACAGTGCAGTTGTCATAGATTAAAGGATGGGCTCGGCAACTCGGCGATAGGGGATGTCAAAAGCTCAAACAACTTCAGCTGCGGGAAGAGAGTATTTCTACCACGCATGTAAGAGAAACTCACAATCAAAAACCACCTCAAACAACAACAGATCGTGATTGCATTCGTTGGTTGGAGTTTGTGGCTTTTAAATCCGAATACACCGATGTCGTATTTGTCATTCTCCGACTGCATCCCCGAAATCACAACATGAAAAAGGCAACCATCCAACCATCCAATCCATCAAATCGATGCGAGTGCGTTGCGTTTGCCTGGCTTGCACGTGTACAGTGTGAGGAAAACTCGGTATTGGAAGGGCTTGGCAGTTGAAGCATGCCCTGGGACAGAGGTGTTGAACAGGTGCTGGGGTCTCACGTGCAGGCAGGGATACTTTAAGATTACAGCCGAAATGGTAAAACCTCTAAGGGGTAGATTTCAACAGAACACAACATGAATACACCAATTCACATCAATGAACCGAATACACGTAATGTCTGACAATTAAGAGTCTCAATTGCATCTCAGCGACCCGCGCACCC